GGCCTGTAGGTGGTGCTGTTCTCACTGAATCTGCCCTTGCAAAAACAGAGCTAAAAAAGTGCAAATTGAGCGAAATGAGGCATGGCTAAAATGCATGATCTGTTTGGTATTTAAAAAAAAAAAAGTATAAATATGCCTTATATAGGTATGGTTCTACACTATATTATTAAAATATAGCATGATAGGTCAACTTTAAATTAAAAACGCTAAATCAAAGTAAAGAAAAAAACACCACAAAGGTGAAGAGCTCTCTTTCTTTTATCAACTGCAATAATATGAGATGAAATGGGTGTGTTGTTTCAGGCACCTGTAAAGATTTGTTTGCCTTACATCTCATTTTGTCTTATCTGACACACCCAAATAGTCTTGTGTAAATATGTATTATATGTAAAGATATGTCATAAATATGTGTTATACGTTTGTACAGTAAACACATATTTTGTACCTTTTTATAACCACACATTTTTCAATTAAACATAATTTTCTTCTTTCAAATTATCAAATGTTTTCCTTTTAATGTAATGTTTGAAGAGCCACAAAACAAATATGTGTAATATCTGTTTTGTACCACAAGATGGAAGTGTTACAATAACAACTGCTGAAGGCTTTACTTCACAAAGCCAACGAAACCTCATAATGTCATGTTATAGCAGCTCTTAATGTCTTTAAGTAGAGACCGCTACACTTTTTTAAATTATAATTGTTTAAATTAGATCTTATTGTGAGAACATTCAAACATGAGCCTGTGTAGTATTCTACCTCAGGGAAAAGAACACTACATAACACGACAGATGTGTCACAAGATTCACACACACAAAAGAAAGTCTCAAACTAGAAAAACGATTTGGGATTGTTGTGGCACATGCAGTGACTAAACCACAGACATTATCAGAGTGTTTTTTTTATCACTATTGTCATAATGAGAAATCACTGATGGACAGTTAACATGCATTAAATTGACATTCATGGCCAGTGGGTTACTCTCATGGAACCAATTGCATTTTGTTCTGGGATATATCAACACCACCGGGAACCACATCTTTGTGCTCACTGTTCGAGTCAGTGAATATTATGGGGTGCATACCATCCTGTGAGGCAGAATGCACCATTATAACAGTGTACTGGTTCCATATGAGCCCCACAGCTGCCTCCCTGGGCTCTGCTCCTGAAGAGAAAGCCTCTTGGAAAACTCATCTGTTTGCATCTGGATACAGATCTTTTCTTTCAAGTTCTGGTTTTATGCAAATGTGGCAAACAAATAAATGGGCATGCTGCGAGGTACAATTGTCCTCATGAATGTCAGGAGGTAGCACACACTTTCTGGGTCAGGCCAGCAGGCGATGGAGGAGAACTGAAGTCGCTGTAATAGCCCAAAGGAAGAGATTTCTGAAGGACCATATGGCTCTCTGATGATAGTGCAAAGGGAACGCTGCCTTGAAAACCATGATATGTTGCCAAAGTTGTTGTTTTATTTTTCAATATCTTTACCAAAGTGAGACTGGTGCAATATCTGAAAAAAGCCACATTAAAAACGTTGACAATCGAAACCAAATCAGTTGAAACAGAGGATTGTTTCAACTGCACGCCTTGTTTAATCTAATTAACTCATGTTAATTCATCCATGTAATTCAAGCATCCACATGGACAAATAAAACCTCTGAGCCCTTCAGGGTTCAACAAAAGCTTCCTTCAAATACCAACAACTTGTGACAGACATTATTAAATGATGTGTGTGCCTTTAAGAGCCCTATGTCCCACTCTACATGTCTCTCTCTGAGCCTCATATGTTTGTTGGCATCAGCTGTCCTCAGTGCTGAAAAGAGCAAGGACATCTTTTCCTTCACTTCAATGGGATTAGAGGAAGAAATACCCTCTTCACACTGCTGGCTGTCATCTCAGTGCTCAGAAGACTAAGAGGAGGAGATGCTGTATGGACAGAGGACAGAAAGAAGAACAGGAGAAGACTGAAGTTTGGATTACAAGGCTGACCAGTTTTACATTTCTTATGCAAAATGGACAGAAAACATGTTTCTGACCTTAGGGGAGGTATGCAACTAATCTGAGGCTGCAGGCTCAGAAACAGCATCTGTTATTTAACTGCTTTTTAAACCATGAGTGAACCCAGAGGTCAGATGCAGAGTTCAAACGCTACAAGCAGCTCCTTAATGGAACAACAGTCTGCTTCTTCCAATCCTGATGTCCCACCTTCATCTTCGTCTTCAAAGCTTGGCCAGAGCAACTTCAGGAGAGTCAGCCGCACAGAGGACAGCAGTCCATATCCGATCCCTGGCCTAGCAGCTGACATCCTGCACATGCGAGTGAAAGAAGGAAGCAAGATCCGTAATTTACTGCGGTTTGCAACAGCTCGCATGGAAGGGGAAGGGGAAGGGAAAGACAGCAATGGGACATCGCTGAGACAGGTGGTCTTCACTGGCTCAGGAAGAGGAGTCACCAAGACCATCACTTGTGTGGAGATTCTGAAACGAAAAGTGGGAGAACTCCACCAGGTGTCAAAGCTCTACTACAAGACGGTGAATGAGGTCTGGGAGAGTCCCCAGCAGGGAGCCCCAGGTATAACCATGCAGAGGACTGTCCCTGCCATCTGTATCCTGCTCTCTAAAGACCCTCTGGATCCCCAGGAGCCTGGATATCAACCCCCCCAAACCAAGAGTGTCCCCACAGAGGACGCAGAGAGACGCAGAGGTCTGATCAGGCCGGCTCACAGTCCCTCCTCACAGCACACAGCCAAGAGAGTCTGTCTGGGTGACTGAGTGTAGGTCCCTCATGAACGTCTGTCAAGTCCAATTTATACAGAGGAGCAACGGAAAGTATCCTAACTGGAAACATACAAAGAGGAAAAGTACACCCATCCACTGAGCATCAGTGATATGACAGTATGCTGGCAAGTGGCCTAAAAGCCTGTTCACCTGATACAAAAATATCCTCTGAGGAGCCACCGGACTACAGAGCAGCTTCTTTTCTCAGGCTGTATGGCTCTTTATCATAAAAACATTTCTGTGTTTTTCTTATGTAGTATAACAAGACTACAAATGGATTACCTTGTATGGTACATTGACAATAAATTAAGATTTACCAAATGGACAAACTGTATTTTGCACTTTTACATTGTTCTTTAAACCTGAATGACTTTGAATTTCAATTTGAATTTTGAACTACAGCCTGTAAAATATCTGATAATTTACATATTAAGCTTGATCAGGGGTTTATTTCATTATGTCTCTTTAGCCACGTTAAGTTTGCCTATAATATGAAATAATCATATTATATTATAATTCTATAATATTTCTCATCCAGATGATCAACATTAAGGACATTCTCCTCATCATAATCTACAATATTGCATCAGTATGCAGCTTCACTGACAATGAAAGAAGTGATGATACTCAGAATGATATGTAGAAATCGGTTTGCAAGTTAAAATGTGTTTTGAATGTTAGTATTGTATGTGTTCACATGATGATAAGCAGCAATATAAATAGTTACTAGTTATATATAGTATATCAGAGATCCTCTTATACAAAAGGTAAAATACAAACATTATTGTTTGCGTCAAAATTCTCTATTCTGGTTTTTACTTTTGTGAAATGATGTATATTTTCATGGATCAACCACAATGTTCTGCTTGAGGATTAACTTTCATAATGATGATGTTCCTTCCCAGGGATGTCCCCTTTTTCTGATGTTATGGAGTGTGTATATCTTGTTTTGTTTGATAAAAATCCTGTCATGGAAAAACACTTCATAGTAGAGAATATGACCTAGAGGTTTCACTTATTTAAAGGACACCTATCATGCTATATTTGAACAATATATTGTAGGGCCATACCTATATAAAGTATATAAATATAGTTTTTTTTTCAAAATACCAAACAGATCCTGCATTTTAGCCATGCCTCATTTCGCTCCATTTGCTCTTTCCAGCACTGTTTTTGCAGGGGGCTGATTCTGTGAGCTGCAGCTGACCACGCCCCCCTGCAGGAGAGGGGAGCGTGCTCTGAACAGCTGCTGGGCTGTCAGAAGAGGGGGGAGATCTCCGTCCTCCGTGTTTTATTATATTATTATATAGAGTCGTTATTCATTTGTTTTAAAGCTCAATAAATAACAAAGAAGACCTTTGACCGACACTTTTCAAATTTTGTCCGGAAGATTTCAACTTTAACGGACATCTTGACCGGCGAAAAAAAACCTAACTGAAACTCTGCCGCACGGTCCCCTCGTTCCTTGGAAGAGGCGGAGAGGTGGGTGTTTGTCATCTGCTGGTGGACTAACCGGAGATAATTACAGTGCTTGCCTCGACGGGGAGGGATTGCATTGAATTACAGCAGCAGGAGCAAACGCTTGCCTCGGGGAGGGAGAAAAAGAGCCACAGCGGAGAATAAACAGAAGGGCTACCATGGCAACCATGCGCGGGAAGTCTTCTTCGCTGCTTTTGTGGCAGACTATAGCGCCACTTACAGGCCTGGCATATGTACTACAGCGTCTCCAGCGCTTTCGAGCGGCAATGGCCGGCCGTGGCCCAACCCCACATTCCCCTGATAGGTGGAGAGTTGGCCCAATAGCCGTAGCGCCACCGTCCTGACATCAGTAACGTGTTCAAATCTGGATCAGTTTTTATCAGGTCCGTTGCAGCCCCGTTTTTAGAGATTTGGGTATGGAGGAAAATAGAGAGGGTTGTGTTTTCTGACACTTGGTGAGTTCCCTGGAACACCGGGGACACATATTCATGTTTAAAAGACGTACAAAAGTGCATTTCGCATGATAGGTCCCCTTTAAATATGGAAACTTAACATAACAGCTGAATTGTATGTTTTAGGGCTTGACATTTATTTCAAATATTTTAATTAGAATAAAACTGAAAAATCATGAAAAGGCTGTGTACTTTAGAACATATTTTAGGGTCAATGTCATGGTCAAAGTAGGTCAACAAAAAGGACAATATACCATGTATGAGCTCTGCAGTCTGCACATGCGCAGAAGGGGGGCCGCGTACGTGCCGAGCTAAAGCCATTAGCTTCCTCCTTCAGACTCTCCCCGGTGTGTGTAGCTGGCTGTCCCGCATCATGTTCAGAGCCGCCGTCCGTCTCTCGGTCTCCAGTGTCCGGAGTATCACCCGTACACAGCCGGGATGTCAAGGTATGTGCTCATTTTTAAATGTAATTTTGTAACTCTTAAAATGATCCGGGCTGAGCTGGAAATCATGTGTGCCCTCACGGCTGAAATCGCTAGCTGTAGCTAACCGGTGCATCTACCAAAAAATCACCCCCCGATGTCAAATGTGACCATGTTTTACTTAGGTTAATTAATCTTTCGTTAAATACTAGCAGTACCCGAACACTCTGAGTAAAAGCTGCTGTGAAAATGTCCCAGTGTTTGGCTTGGTGGTGTCTGTGTCCTTGCTTTGACCCAGTCGGTGAGGCTCAGCCCGGGCCTGTGGTTCTTCTGCAGATGCTAGCTGCTAACATGCTAACTTCTTGTAAAGCCTTCTATTCACCACAGCATTGTTGATATAAATGTAGGATGTTTACAGAGGTGTGATAAATACTCAGATCCTGTGCTTGAGTAAAAGTAGAAATGTCCGAGTGTGGGAATACTCTGTTACAAGTAAAAGCCCTGCAATCAATATGTTACTCAAGTAAAAGTACTAAAGTATTAGCATCAAAATACTTAAAGTACCGATAGTTGAAGTACTAATTATGCAGATTGGCCCATTTCTGAATAATATAGATAACATGTTTTGATTATAATTATTGATGCATTAGAGTGTGATCAAATCTGGTATAGGTAGAGTTCATTTTAATTGCTTTGTATACTGCTGCAGGGTAGCTTGTGGATTGAAGTAAAAGTCCCTCAAAATTGTACTGCTCTGATTTCTACACCTGAAGTGTATTTACAAAAACAATAGTGGAAACATAAATGTCCTGTCTGTGTGTCAGACTGCCTTCCTGGTAGGTGTAGCAGCCAGGTCATATAAGGACGCTGGAAGAGAGCCAGCTGCATAACATTGCTCTAAAAAAGATTGTCCTTATTCCACTTCACTCAGTGTAGATACATGCCCTTGAGTGTATTTGCCCTTCTACGCTACCTTACAAGCACTTTGAATTGTCGCGTGCTGAAAGGTGCTATATAAATAAAATTGCCTTGCCTTGCCTTACACAAGCTTTCATTGTGAATGCTTTAAAAGGAGATCACTATTTCCATATCTTTTCACATTATGTCTATCATTTTGGTTTGTTATGGCATGTTGGACACACACACTTATTGCACATCAGAGTTTTTCGATGGAGGGATGTTTGAGAAGTATTCACTTATTCAAACTAAGGTAATCAATGACAGAGGGTGTTGTATGCTGGACAAATTGTAAAGCCTCATGAAGCAAATGTGTGACATGAGCTTATATAAATAAACATGACCTAACCTGATATGTTAAAAACTGTTTACATCACACAGCTCTTTTGGCCTCGAGGGGTTACTCGCATGGGAAGCAGGAGACGGACGAGGAGTTTGATGCCCGCTGGGTCACCTATTTCAACAAGTCAGACATTGATGCATGGGAGCTGAGAAAAGGTAGGTTTGATAGTTTGAAAATAAATCTGTGAGGATGACTGCCTAAGGGAAATATTACAAGAGAAATGCCTTACTTTAATAAAATCGTTAGTTTTTTGCTTATTATTACTCAAACACAGTTCACAGTATCATGTATTGTAGTGAGATTAATAATGTGTAAGCGTTATAAAATGTCAACAAGCTTGCTTATTTTATTTCCATAAGATTAGCACTTATTTTGTGAATGAGCATTGTAGCGTATCATTTGATGGCAGTAACAGCTCCTATTCAACACTAGAGCCCGCTATCATTGAAAGGTTTTTAATACGAGTGCAAACTTGTTTAAAAAAGAAACCAAAACAATATATTTCCATTACCCCGTTTGTGAGGAATGTACACATGTTGTTCGACTAAACCCTTTTTTTATTTTAACGAAACAATTCCTAACTTTTCAAATGAGCTTTCAATGTGAGCTGTCGGTATTTCGCAGTTTTTAATACATCAGGCTACAGACACCTGTTTGTTGGTACCAAAACCTGTTGAGATTTGAAACCTGGCCAAAGTCAAAGCAATGCTTCCCCTACCATTCTGATTGGTTATGGCCATATCACTGTAAGAACATGTGAATGCAGCACACACTTCTTTAATAATGATTTTGTAATGTGAACTCTACAACTACTATTGTGGCAACAGAATATAACATGATGACACTCTGTCTCTGAGTGTTTTTAACAGCCGGGCAGGTTTTATAAGATGATAAGCCTGCAGACACATTAAACCTGCACTTCCTGCATCGTATTTCATCATCCTGGTCGTACCTGAGGCGTCACAAATTCTTTCAATGCAGGGCTATTTTTGGTCTGAAGAGAAAACGCACAAGGGAATAGATGTTTTGGAAAGTGAAATGGGGAACGGCTCATTGATCAGGCTAGAAACATGCGGAAATGCCTCTGTGGTCTCCGAATGGTTGAACATGCAACGTATGCAGGAAGTAGTGTTAGAAACGTGATTGGTTTGCAGTTTCACATTGAAAACATTCATAGGCTAATCTTGTACATTCAAGAAGAAAGTAGTGACTATATTTTGAAGTTGATCTATGTATATAATATGTTAATTTAGTACTCAGTACTTTCCCTGTCTGTGGCTCTCAACCCATGGCTAACACCACTCATGTACACCTTTTTTTTTAATTATATACAGTTCACTAATGTAGAGTTAAAACAAGCTATGTAATTTTCTACAACTGCGGGCACTGTCGGTTTTTTAAGCAACTCATTATTGAGTTAACATTGCAATATCTTTCAGGCATATATTAATACACACAGCTTGAGGATGGTGTGTGGGATCAACTCCCCTTATGTTCATTGTTATAAAGAAATATGTGGAACAGTAACTGTGTGCCTGACTTACAGATAAATACGATACAATTGATAAAACGTTTACTACAGATAAAATACTTTTTGGTAGAATCAATTTATTTTTGGTTTTGGTCTTTTAACGTGATTGCCTCAAATATGCAACATATGGAGTATGGCTGCCCTCAGGAAAGAAATTCAGCGTATATTAAAGTGTTAATTTCCTCACTGTTCTCCAATTTACCAGTTGTAATTCCTTGTTTCAGGGATGAACACACTGATTGGTTATGATCTGGTACCCGAGCCAAAGATAGTGGAGGCAGCTCTGAAAGCCTGTCGGAGGCTAAACGACTTGGCGAGCGCTATCCGAATTTTGGAAGCTGTGAAGGTGAGAGATAAAGGGCACCTTCTGTGTTTAATTCAGGGAATATTGCCAACCAGCATCTTTGCAGCTGGAGGACTTGAGTTAATGATTAATGACCGTTTGGCATTTCCTCAGGATAAAGCCGGCCCTCATAAAGACATCTACCCGTATCTGATCCAAGAGCTGAAGCCAACATTAGAGGAGCTTGGCATCTCTACACCTGAGGAGCTTGGCATTGACAAAGTGTAGATGAGTAGGTATTCAAATTCTCTATTAAGTCATGTTTTTCCCTACCCATTTTGTCATACAAGTGCAATCTAACATAAATGTTTGTTTTATTTCAGATCTAATGATGGTGGATATCCCCAGGACACAGAACCCTTCACCTAACTGTTTGCCCTACATGATACCTGTGATATTTAATTGGGCCTTTTATTAAGTTCTTTTGCTTGTGACATATTCATGAATCTAATAATAAATTAGAGTGAAGTTTCACAAATACTTTGGGATATTTTAAACGGTTTGAGTACTTGAAGCATTACGCTCTATTCATTACAAGTTGCTTTAATGGGGAGCAGAGCGTCACTTCTCTGGTGGAGTGTGTCCGTACATCGTATGACAGTCACCGTTTGCCACCAGGGAGCAGCGTTTTCACATGAATGTCAAAATCATTCTACTGTATCAATCTGCATTGCATCTGTTTTCATTTCAGGGAAGATTTAATTGCTTGTAAAATAAAGGTGTTAACATGTCAGATGCTCTTTTTATGTTATTATTAACACAACTGAAATATCACACTAAGGGAGCCTAAATATGACATCTAAAAATGATTTTGAAGTTTTTATTTTATTTTATTGAAGATCAGGCAATTCTAACACTCAATGGACCCTGATAGATTATATGTGTATTGGCGAGTTGTGTTTATATTCGAGATGAAAGGTACCTTTGTATAAGGTTAAGCAAAACATACTTACAAGGTGTATTGGTTAAACTGAATAATAGGCTTCTGCTAAAGAAAGTAGTTGGACAATTTAAAATGTTGCCAATATTTCTCTTTCTTTTTGAGCAAAGTTTTAACCTGCATCTATGGCAATTATTCGTTTTTAGCAAAACTAGTGCAAGAAAATTCAAATGTTTTAAACGAGTCAAAGGTAAAAAAAAGAAAAGGAAATCATTTAAGACTAGTGTTCCTAGTGTCGTGGAGTAAAGCCACAAACTTGGTGAAGAAAATAGCAATTTTTGCCATTTTCTTCATCTCTGATACTAGATCAGAGACTCGAGATTTAGAAACAAGTGCAATTTAAAATGTTTGATTAACTGGATAAAACAGGAATATATCCTATGTGTTAATAGATATTGTTCATGCATTTCTTTTTGCATTTATTCCTGTCAAAAAGACACTCACAAATGTTGGGTAACATTGTAACTAAACAATATCAAAGGCATGATTTGTAGTAGATTTCAGAACATACACACTATACAATTTGTTAGATTAGAGTGTATTATTTGAACTATTTTAGCTTTATTGAAGTTAAACCTTTGGTTAAAATAATGGAGCCCCTGGCAGATCGCCACAAACCCCACTATCAGATTCACTCTGTTATTTGCTGTTTGAATAAATTATGTGATTTGTGAAGCGTCTAAAACTCAGAAAAAAACTCTTGAGCTTAATGAAAGACTAAAATTAATTTTTTGACTTTAGTTTTTGCTCTTATCCTGTAATTAATCCTGTCATGTCACCCCCATCTGCTCAGTCTTTTTATAGAGTGGGTGGGAGTCACTTCAACCAAGATTTCCAGAAGTGTCACATGTGGTATTTGGCTGTTTAAAATAGAAGCAGATGTAGATGCTTGCATTTAGAATCAGTTTTCTTGCCAAGCAAAAGATCCCTATGTATACTGTTTAAGCTCTAATAAACCAACTATTACTGATTAAGTTAATCTTACTGCAATACATATTATTTAATGTCAGTTATTTTGAAGATAGACCAAATTGTGGAAATGTAAAATATTACATCTGCAGTCCCTGAAGCAGATTACATTTGACAGCAGTTCTACACGTCCTCTGTTAATCCTGCCTCAAAGAAAAAAGCAGAGTAACTAATGAACCATGACTTTACAGCCAGACTTAATTTCCATGCATGTGTTCTGCTGTGAAATGTAACCAAACAGGCAGCCGTGAAAAACAAACAGTGTCTGTGGTGTAGAGGTCAGCCCCAGTTTGCAATGTTAATGAATGAGCTCCACATTCAGAGGTGGAATAAGTATTTAGATCTTGTACTTAAGTACAATCAGAAGTAGTGTAGGAATACTCCTAGTCATGCAATAAAAATTGTACTCAAGTAAAAGTAGAAAGGCATTAGTATCAAAGTATACTTAAAGTACCGTAAAACGTAAAATAAGTAATTATGCAAATTGTCCCATTTAAGAATAATATATATCATGTTTTGATTATAATTATTGATGCATTAAAGTGTTTATCAAATCTGTTAAGGTGCAGATCATTTTAATTACTTTTATACTGCAGGGTAGCTTGTGAATTTTACCCCAGGTGTAACTGAAGTCTTATTTAAGCGTTGATTATATTTCACATCAATAATCCAAATCTGAGTAATTCAATGTATTAAATAAATGTAGTGGAGTAAATGTACACGATTTACCTCTGAATTGTAGTTGAGTAGAAGTAGAAAGCAAAAAATGGTAGTACAAATACCTCAACATTGTACTTAAGTACAATACTTGAGTAAATGTACTAAATGTAGTTCCCCTACCACTGTCCAGATTACATTTCGTATTTATTTTTTCTGAATAGAGGTCGTGTTGCCTCAATAAAACCACACAAGTGTATAAAGGATAATAGCAGTGGGTGGGATTTCCGTGTGAAGTGGGAGGGTATAGCTCCACAGAAATGCAGGAAAGAAACCCCTCTTTACGAGCTTTACACACGGGGCGGGCCTTTCATTCATGTGAGTTGGGGGTGTAGGCCACTCAGTCAAAGACAATCAGAGATGTTTGAGTTTCCATGCGCAGTGACCAGGGAGGTAAAGCGCACAGCAGTTTACCCCTCCTCCAGCTTCGACCTTTTTTCGGCCTCCACAACCACTAAATCACACTTGATTAGAGCAAGCTTTTTCTGATTAAAAGGAAAACTGGTCATGCGACGCGATTTATTCCTGCCCGAGGGAAGAAGGAAAAACTAGATACGACCTGTTGGCGATGATGGATTACTCGAAGGCGCAAATGGTGAGTGTCGACGACTGCTGGGCTGCGACCCGTGTTTCGTGTTTGTTACAGTAACAAAGCAAATGGCGATTAATGTAATCGTTTTAGGAACATTTGCACGCTTTCAAAAGCCCTTTCGCTTTGGTTATTAGGAGTGTTTTTGTGATTATCAGTGTGGTCCGTGTGTTCGCGTTGATCTGCATTGGGAAATTGTTGTTTTTCCATTAATAAAACCGAAAAATCGAGTTCTTGCATATTTAAGTAGCTTTTAACAAACTGAGGATACAGGGATCTAAGTGAGGAGCATTTTGTATCCTGCTACTAATTTATTCTTAGTTTAATTCATGATTTTTCCTGTACATTTTCTGTTAATTATGGTCTCAAACCATCAAGCTTTGTTTCACTTTAATCCACATATGCTGGGCTTTCTGGGCCCGAGACAGCCCCCCTCTTTTGAAAAGTTTCAATTTACCATGTCAATTTGTTTTTATCAGAAGATAAATATACATAGGTTTGTTCAGACAATATAGTGTTTGAACAACACTCTGGGAAAGAAATAATTACCCTTTTTTATTTGTTGAATACATTTTTCCATTAACATTGGATACATTTCTGCAGCATTTATTGCAAAGCACCCAATCAAACATTTCCCCAATTAATTTTGAGATTTTATTTGTTTTTCTGTGCATAGTCAAGCTTCACTGAGGAGGGGAATTCAGCTGGGTTTCCTCCGCCTGGTAATTCTGGGGTGAAGCTGGAGGCAGTGATGGAGCAGTTGCAGAGACAACAAGAGGCCAAACTGGGGATGAATCTGCAGGAGAAACATCTTCTTCACGCCCAGCTCCTCTTCGCCCAACACGCTGCTGCAGCCAGGGCCTCTGGCTCCAGACTAGACCCCGCATTATTTGGCAAAGCAGATGGACAGACTTATCTGGCAGCTCAACAGGCTTACAACAGCAGAACAGATCCAGATGAGGAAGATGGAGACTCAGATGAGGAGGAGCAGGAAATGGTGGGGCCTGAAGGGAATGATGACATGGAGGAAGATGATGATGAAGATGATGATGAGGAGGAGATGGGGGACGGGCCTCGTCCACAGGCGAAGAAGCCGTGTCTCCAGCAGGTTCCTGGCTTCCCCTTCGCTCCTTATCCCACACCTCAGGCGTCCGCTGTGAAGCAAATGTCCCAATCTCCTCCTCCAGTAGCAATAAAAGAGGAGCAGGAGGAGAAGGAGCTGCTGTCTCCTGCAGGACAACAGGCCTTCACCTCGCCCAATGGCTTCGCTGACTGGGGCTTTGATGAGTCGTTCAAACAAGTAAGTTACCTTTGATTGAACTGCATCAATAAAGGCCATATTGTTGTTCTACGCTGTATTGTTTTCTATATTTGGTAGTGAGGGGTTTCTCTTTAAAAGATACAGATATATCTACTTGAGCAGGTCTCCCTTGAAAAAGAGGTCAATGATCTCAATGGGATACAACCTGGATAAATAAAGGTGTGAAATGAAATGAAATGAATCCAAAATAAAAACTCTGTCCACTGTTGGATATATTATTGTGATTATAACTCCATTCTGATGTAGTCTCAACCAGAGAAAACTATCTGTACAGAGAGTAAATGAACTTCTGTATCTCTCCATGATACTTGTGTGTTCTCATTCCTATTAATAATTCTTGACTTCTTCCTGCTGTGTCGCCTCCTGCGCTCTCACACATGTGGGGGGGGGGGGAAGGAGCGTTTCCTATTGGCAAAATGCCTGAGTTTGATAGTGTTTAATTACTCGGCAAGCCAGAGATCTCTCCCTCTGCTATAGCTCGTGTCTCACACTTTAGAAAACACACCCTTGCCACCGACTGAGCTAATTGGTCTTGGCTGTGGTCCAATCCTAACTGCTCAAAGCAGGCCTGACAGAGATGAAGTTAAAATGAGAGCAGGGGATTAATGAAATCGCCTCAAGCGTGTATTTATGGCTTCAAAGGTTAACTACTGTAAGGAATTGCAGGGTAGGGGGTGGACTTTTCTCTCACTGTATCAGACAGATCTCCTCTAGATGAGGCCCAAAGCTAGTATTTACGAGTATGTTTTCAACAGATATGTTATAGGAAACAGAGGCTCCCGTCAGAGACTTTTTCTACAAGCAGCCCATGTGATTGGTTGTTCTGTGTGTGTTTCCCTTAAAAGGCCCCACTTCAATACAATACATTATGATTAATGAGGCCTGTGACCAGAGGACAGCTGGGTTAGTGCCTCACAGCATACCAGCAAGCAACTACCCATAAAGTTGACTTACAGTAGTTTCAGTGGAGCAGAATGGGCTTTTTGATATTTGTTTTGAGTTTTACGCATAATTTTCTTTGTGATATCTCACATTTACTTGTGTGCCCTCCTTGTTGCCTGAGTTGTGGTAAATCTTCTCTATAATTTAAAAAGGTTATGTGTACATAAGGCCCTTCTAAAACCTCACAGGCTCACAAACCTTGCTGGTAGCTCAGTGGATAGCTCTGCATAATTTTACCGTTGCCTGGCAACACTTAATGGCAGCTTAATTCAACTGCAAGTAATCAATACATTATATGGCCACTGTAGTGAGAATTGCATTTCCTTTTGTCAGGCCAGCACACAACACCTGGGGCAATGAAGAGCATTTGTCCCGTTTTAATTAAAGCACAACAACAAGTTGTGAAAATAACTTAATTGTGTGTGTGTGTGAAATGGTTAAGGTTATGTGTTTAGATGCTTAAAGCACAAAATCCTCTCTGGAACATATATTAGAATAAAGGTATTTGAGAAGTAGGAAACATTAAATGAACTTAGCGAGCTGATTTTAAAATGGTATGAAGCCCATTACCACAGATTTGTTTGTTTTTTAAATGCTGTTTTTTTTTGTACAGTTAATTTTAAAGCAGGACTCCTTCAGTGGTTTGAATTGAGGCGGTTTTATGTGACGTGATTATAAATAAGTTCTGTTTGTTAGTTTGAAGTAGGGCCTTGCGCAAGTTAATTGGTGGCTGGTTGAAATGGTTGTAATTATTTACTCTTGTTAACCTCTTTTTACTTTTAAATCTGTACCATCTCCATAATCCTTTGTTTTTCTTTCCTTCACTACCATTATTAATCAAACATCTTTGTAGTTTTTGGCATGCTGTACAAGCCTCCCCATGCTGGGCAGCCATTGTTCACTCCTGGTGTGCGGTCTCACTATACGCCATTAAATGTGGAAAGGGCGGGGATGAATGACCCCCGTTTGCTCTCATTCCCAGTCCACAGCCCAGCAAGGGGCCAGATAGATGTTCGGGTGACTAAAGGCTCAATAATTTGATTTGGATTAAACATTTGGTCCCCCTGTGGTTACATGACATTAGGAGAGGGATCAGTTTTCACACACAATGATTTAATGAAGCTCATTATAAGAGGAAGTTACCGCTGGGTGTTTTGATAGGACTAGATTTTAAATCAAGTGTCATTTCTTTATTTTTTCATCTTGACTGGTTGAACAGACATACTTAACATTACTACTTTGTGTATAGTTTTATGCATAAACCTGATTATTTACATCTTATTTAAATAAATAAAAAACCATCTTGAAGCCTAATAAAATCTGGCCTTTTTTAACAAAACAAAAGAAACCTTTTCCTGACCTACATACTGAATACTATCAGGATTCCCAGGGTTGGATGTGTGAAAACTCTGTGAGCAATTAACTGAGAGCTCTTTGTTAATAGAGCCACAGTAGGTCTCACTTGCTCATCAATAAGGGGGGGAAGGGTTTTATTTCCATCTCTTGGTGAAAAGACTGGGATGTTTATCTACCTTCACATCAATAAGCTTTGGCTGGGGGAAGAGAAGTCCTTTATTAGAAACTCTAAGCTGAAGCCATTAGATGTGTCAACAGCTCGGCCACCACAGGGGCAGTTTTATCTGTAAAGTGAAGACATACAGATAAAACTGTTTAACTAGAACAACAACTAACAACAGCAACAGAAAAGAAAGAAACATTGGTATTTACAGGAGTCCATTACAACAGAGATTTTCAACCAGAGGGTATACTTAATTCTGCAAATGTTCTTCTGGAAAATGTTTTAATTGAAAATAAATTACAATTTGTTGAGATAATGTCATCAATTAGCTGTATCGCCTGTGCTGTATGGTTCATGGTTTAAAGGGTGAGCTAAAGTAACAAATACTTTGGTAAATAATTAGCAAAAAGAAATTTAAAACTGGTTTAAAAGTCAGCTACAAGTAATATTTAAGTTTTTTAAATGGTTAGCTAAAATAACATTTATTCTGTTGGGTTAAATAGTAAGCAACCAATAAATGGTTGAAATAGTACGCTAAAGAAATGGATAAATGGTTTAAAACTCAGCTCAAAGAAATGTATATATATTTAAAGTAGTTTATAATAAAGGATAAATTGTGGGTTCGATCCCAGCCCATGCAGTCAACATGTCGATGTATCCTTGGGCAAGATACTTAACCCTGAGTTGCTCCCGATGGCATGGCCAAAGATGTGTGAATGTTAGGTCCTAGAGTAAGGTACACGGCTCTGTATGAATGGGGGAACGACATGTAGTATGTAAAGCGCATCGAGGGGTCTTAAAGACTGGATAAAGCGCTATATAAGTACAGTCCATTTACCATTTAAAGGTAATGAATAAACTGTTCAGATAGTAAGCTAAAATTGATATATAGGATTTAAAATAGTTAGACAATAGTAATGTATATAAGAATAGTTAAAGTGGTGGTTTAAAATACATTTAAATGACCTCTGGTTGGGCTGTGGGTGTACATGTGACAACAAAGGCTGTGAACTTCTGCTTTACAATGTCCTGCAGCTGTCTGCGTATCAGCATTAATATATTTATACAATATATAATATTGTTTTTACTGTAAACAGTTGGATTGGAAGAGAGATTATTGCATCATGTTTCTTTGTAGCTCAAACGGTAAATTGTTATGGGTTTTAAACCTCAATCAGATCGGATCGCCACACTTCAGATTTAGTGAATTCAATAATGTGCTTTATAGTAAAAAGTAATACATTTGTATCCAAGTATTACGTGACATTTTAACAAGGCAAGACAATTAAAGACAAAAATGGTACTTTAATAAACTAGGGTGACAATTGAAGTTTATCAAATACAAAAACGTGGGATGAATGACGTGTGGGCCCTCATGAGGCTATAAAGCAAGCCAATGATTTATATCCAAGTGTGACACAACATGAAACAAGGTCCACTATAGTCCCTAAATGAATGTACTGCAATGTCAGTTTTGAATGAAGATCGAAGGAATAATAGGAAAATAAGCGTCATCTACTTAATGTAATTGTAACGACAGAGCGTTCTTGAGACTGTTCTACCAACCATGTTTGATTTTCATACTTGCATCATCGTGCAGCTCTCGTGGGCATTGGCAGAACAATAACATCTCAGCAGGCCTTTCCACACAGTTGCACACACACTGCCCTTTTCTCACATTTATAACCTTTAACTGTCTTGTTAAGGAGGGGGCCGATGGACGAATAACATGTCACATTAAACTACCTAATGAGCCCTTCCATTAATCCCCCTTTTACTGTGCCCAGCTCTGAATGGACCCCCATTTGTGAAATATCAGACAAAATAAGCCTTTTTATTGATTACCATAGGTTTGTATTATGTGTTGTAGCAGCAAAGGGACATCAAAGAAATACAGATAAATACATAAGTGAAAAAAAACCATTGTAAAATAAAAATATAAACCAGACAAATGTTAACTCTTTATTACGAGGTAGTAAAAGTCAAGTGCAATAATGGTGTGATTGTGGCATAACCTAAAATTAAGAATATTATGAGAACACCTACTATACATTGGAGTGATGTATATGATTTAATTTTGATACTCATAGTTTGTCTGTATTCATTTAGCAATGTGATATAATACTAACAGTACATGATGTAAACAGTATGACCGATTACCATTATAAACTACAGGACTGTTAGTATATTTAAAAAAAAAAAAAAAAGTAAAATGTATGTACAGTGTAAAACAATATGTGTAGTATATAAATATTAGATGTAGTTTTTGTACACAACACCAGCAGTTAACGCTCTTGTATGCAGTGAGCTGTGGTTTCAGGGCTGGGAAAAAATCAGGCTTGAACATGAGGTGTGTAGCACAGAGTCCAGAGTCCATGAGGGTACAGGACAAATAAAGAAATGGTATCTCTCCGAGGATACACCCTGCCAGTGTTTCTTTGATTTACATAATCTTGTGTGTCTATTGCATGTCTTGTGGGCAGTATTTGAACCATAAATAGTAAAACACCATATCTACATCAATTTTAACCCTGAAAATGCAATCATTAAACTGGTCACGGTGTGAGGACTCCGGACAGTCTGGAGGACAAACTGTTCACTGATGTCTGTGTGTTGTTTTTCTTACAGAGAGGAAGTGCCATCTGGGCTGAGGAGAGTGACGGAGCAAAAGTAAAAGCTGAACCATCAAGGGACTTCGCCAAGGTCAGTACATTTTGTGGATGTGTTGTAACAAGGCTGACATTATCACACACTAACATTTGCCATTGTTTGTTTTTAACTTACAGCTTTATGAACTTGATAATGACCCACAACGGAAGGAGTTTCTTGATGACCTCTTCATTTTTATGCAGAAACGAGGTACGGTTTTACAAAATGTTGTTGTTTTACCTAGGGGAAATCTGTGTGATCATTCGAACATTAAATAGACATAGTGGTGGTGTGACATTACACTGCAAGTGAACGCAGCAGGCCCTTAGTTTAACTAAGATGCAAAGTTAATGAGTTACTTCAAAGCGGCGGATGGCACAGTCTGTATTATGAATTGGTGATAAGAATAGTTTTTTCTTGTGTCCATAATAGCATGAAAAAAACCTCAAAAGGTCGAATCCTGCAGGTCTTACTATTCATATCAAGTAAAGACTGTCAATTAAGTGTTAGGTTGCTAAATAATAAAACGTATCATTATAATTTCTACGTTTTTTATGGAGGTTAAAATAGCTTGAAATATTCTTAGTAGCTTTTCATATGTTACAGAAATCTAGGAATGTTTTAATCGTTTGAAAACAGCCTTTTTACTCAACATTATCTACAATTAGCTATAGAAATGTGTCTGTTATACCTTGATGATTTGCTGTATACTTTTTGTTTACATTTCCTGTCCTCTATTTGTCTACCAGCGTTAAGTACTTTATGTTAAAGTAGGCCCAATTAAAACTTTGAAGCAGAAGTAGCTGCAGGAATCTTTACTCGTTTGTGCAGGTCAGGGTCCCTGCAGTGTGTGTGTGCATGCGTGTGTCTTCAACCAAATAAATCTTGTTTCTACAACAGTTTTTTAGCCCCCTCGCTTAATTGGCTTTAGTCCAAATGGGGATTGAAAGGGTTAGCCATCAACCCTGTGATTGGCAGGCACTGCTGGCTCTAAAATCCCCCTTCCCCCCCCCAACACTCAAATCAATGCAGCTACAGAGTTGCTGTTGTGGAATTACCCCCACCCCCATCCATCTGAAATAAGCTTCATTAGAAAAGTCTATCCACACAGATTACGCATGCTTAACCATTTCACCAAACATTTAGGGCAGACCCTTACCTGCTTTAATCTGCTGTTGCCCTCCTCCTACTTGTGCTCTCCCTACTTTTACAAGGTCACTCATGTGTCGTGCGAACTTCTCAGGATTTAATTTAGTTATCCTCTCGTTCATCCAGGAACTCCTGTGAACCGCATTCCCATCATGGCGAAGCAGGTGCTGGACCTGTACCGGCTTTATGCTCTGGTGACAGAGAAGGGAGGCCTGGTGGAGGTTATCAACAAGAAGATCTGGAGGGAGATCACCAAGGGTCTCAACCTCCCCACATCCATCACCAGCGCAGCCTTTACGCTCCGCACCCAGTAGGTGTCGCTTTCATTTGCAACAGAAAAGCTGAAAAGGCTGTTGACTGCTGTTCTCTTCAGGAGCAATCGAGGAATAAATGGGCTAGAAAATGAGTTAATGTTTTTTTGCTTTTAGGTTTGCTGTACTTGAACTAGAAGAAATGATTTGCTGTTATTCCTGAAAACAAAAACAAAAAACGTTTAGTTTAAATAGTTGTGTGCATGTCTACATGAGTAATCAAAGTATGTCAATCTTTTTTGTTGATTTAAATGCTGACATTTCAGTTATAGTTTGCACATTCCTCAGTATTTTGTACACTTGGTGAAATTCAAAGAAAGTGCAAAACATTGATATTTTTGAGTTAATGGTCTTTCAAGTTAAATAGTTTTTTAATAAAAAAAAAGGCATCAAATATAATTTCTTTAATACCCAGGTTATTTTACAATTTTAAATAGTGCTGCTATAAATCATATGACTAATCTGAAACATTTCCTTGCAGGTATATGAAGTACCTGTACCCATTTGAGTGTGAGAAGAAGGGCCTGAGTTCTCCAGGTGAGCTGCAGGCTGCCATCGACAGTAACCGCAGAGAGGGCCGACGCCCGAGCTACACCAACAGCTTGTACCGCTACTCCCCCTCCCCAAGCTCCGCTCAACACCGCCTCTCTTCACCCACCATGCAGACTACCCCGAACGGCCTGAATTCATCCGCCAGCCCAGTTCTGAAGAGAAACCCAGGTATGACATGAGTGTGCAGGAAAACAACAATTGTTCTCATCACAATGAGAACCTGCTGGTAATTGGATGATCCAGCTTCCACCAAACTTCAATTTTTTTTTAACTAAATCATTAGAGGTCTTATACTTGATTTTTAAAGCATGTTTGAACTATTTTAACATGTTTTCTATTGTTTAACACATTACAAATCATCCTGGTGTTGAACCAGGTGGATCCTCCTGCACATTTAGGAGATCATTTTTTTCCAGTATTTATCGAGGTAACCTAGACAGGATTATTTATGAGGCATATTATAAACTGCTACCGTTTCTTGTAGGCCGACCCAGCGTCAGCCTTGCAAGGGCTTTCTTGATAAAAAAGCATTGGGATATTTCCATTGGATTTGTAGAATATTGCAGAAAATGGGATCTGTGGTAGACGCAGTGTTAATTTCGTCAACGAAAACTATGACGAAAAATGTTCGTCAACGACCTTTTTTACATGACTAAGACGAGACGATGACGAGCTAAAAATAGATTCTTGATAACGAAAATTTTACGAAATGTATATTTAGTTTTCGTTGACGAGACGAGACGGGACTAATGTGTTAATGGTGGACTATCGGACATTAAAAATGCAGGGTATTTCCCCCCAATTGCTTGTCTTGTCTGTCAAAATGCATCTTACATTTCTAACTTGCAATATCATTATTTCCGCTCTCTTCACTCCAGAAGAGCGATCTCCCTGTGTGTTTCGTGCAGGGGGCGGGGCCTAACAGACACGCTGCAGCGGCACACAGAGATCTGCCGGGGACGGAGCGTTCAGAGAGAGACACTCTACAAGGCTCGATGTGGACAAAGCTCGTTTGCCATGTTTTCGCGTTAGCGCGTTGACACGAGTAGTCTGTCCAAACAGCCGGCCTAAAGACGTCATATTCTGTCGGAGAAATGCACAATTTTCGACTTCCTTAACTCGTAGCTCTGTTGCCCCAATTACGAGTAACGTTATCACATCAGGTGTGCAGAGGTGGGAGAAGTACTCAGATCTTGTAGCTAAGTAAAAAAATACCATACTGTAGAAAGAGTTCCTCAAGTATGATTATCAAAATATATTTAAAGTAGCGACAGTAAAAGTAGTCATTGTGCAGATTGGTCCATTTCAGAATAATATATATGATATGTTTTATAATGATTGATCATGAAAGTGTTCTCAAAGCTGGTAAAGGTGCAGCTAGTTTGAAGGACTTTGTATACTGCAGGGTAGCTTGTGAATTTACTCCAGGTGGAACTAAAGTCTGACTCAACACTTGATTATATTTCACATCATTCATCCACATCTGTAAAGTAACTAAAGGTATTAAATACATGTAGTGGAGTAAAAGTACACCATGTACCTCTGAACTGTAGTGGAGTAGAAGTACACAGTAGCAAAACATTTAAATACTCCAGTAAAGTACCTCAACATTTTACTCAAGTACAGTACAATATTTTAACATAATTATACATATTTCATTTATTTCACATTTAAATAAAGCAATTAATTCGGTTAACAATTTGTTTTTTTTTCCTTTAAAAAATTATAAAAAGTAAATACAAGAATACCGTTAAAGTACCGGATCGATAAGCAGTATTGATAAGACTAGTAGTACTGTAGAAAACCTTAACGATACCCATCCCTAGATATTACACAAGTAAAGTGTTAAGAGAGTGAAATGTTGCTTTACGAATTTCAACACTTGATGCTGTCACCTTGATTACAATGTCAGAAACCTGTATTTGCCTAACTGAATTGGTTTAAAGAGAAAAACATTTTGACTAAAAGTTGACTAAAATGTAATTTTTCATCGACTAAAACTAGACTAAAACGTTTTGAGTTTTCGTCGACTAAAACTAGACTAAAACTATGAAGGATAGAAATGACTAAAATGTGACTAAAACTAATAACCATTTTCGTCTAAAGACTAAGACTAAATCAAAAACAGCTGCCAAAATTAACACTGGGTAGACGCACCTTAATGTTTTAATCAGCTGGATAAACACATGTTAACACTACTTTTATTACATTACATGTTACTTGTTAGATGCTTTTATCCAAAGCGACTTACATACTCAATACTGTGGACAATCCCCACAGGAGCAATTTGGGGTGAAGTGTCTTGCCCAGGGACACAACGACATGCTGACTGCAGTGGGGTTTGAACCTGTGCTCCCCTGATACGAACACCAACGCACCATCCACTGCGCCACACGCCTCCCCGCCCGCCCTTTATAATAATTAAAGCGTTAATGCAATTGGTAGAAGTGAATAGCTAATACAATCCTATAAACAAAATACCTGATGGCCGCATTTTACCCAGCTAAAATAAAGGTTGACTCATGTTCATGTAAGCACGTGTTATCCACAGACCATTTTTGTGCATCTAAGCAATAACTCATTAAAGAAACGATTAATTTTGATTCATTTCAAGGTAGCCCGGAAGCGCTCAAATGCTAACTCATTTCAAAGTTAAAGACTCATTCCTTTACATTCCATTGCCTTTTTCCTTTGCCTATTCTTTAAACACTTCTTCTAATTTCATGACATATTTAAAACTATTCCCACTGTGATGTTTTCCCAATCAGATGAGATGCCTACCCCTGTGATGCCCGGCAGGCTGCCCATGGCTCTGGCCCTGGGGCAGCAGCAGCAGCAACAGCTGGCACAAGCTGCCGCGCTGGAGAGTTTCAGAGAGAGGCTGGAGCGCAGCGCTGGAGGAGCCGCAGCCGACGGGCCAGAGAAGAAGATGATGAGGATGGCCGAGGAGCAGCAGCGCCTCATGCAGCAGGCCATCCAACAAAACCTCCTGGCCTTCGCTTCTCACTTCAACCCCATGAATCTCAAACTTAACAATGGACATGGTGAGTTGTCTAGGCTGTGATTGTTATACTGGCTCTTTCATTACTTAACATGATTTAAGGAAAGTTTATTAAATGGAGTAGTTTTATTCCCCCCCCCCCCCCCCCCCCCCCCCCCCCCCCCCCCCCACAGAGAACAAACAGGATATGTCTCTGAGCATCTCCACTAATGGAGCAGCCAGTATCAGTGTGTCTGTGGAGGTCAATGGCACAGTTTACTCAGGTGAGCGATACCATTTAAAAAGGGTGTATGCCTTTTTAGTGCTTTTTAAATTCCCCCCAAAAAACTGCTACACGTCTGTCAGAAGATAAACAATGTACGCCTACAGGCTCCTGTACACTTCAGAAAACAAACTGTCCTATTATGTGTCTTTAATCTGTACAAAAGCAGGAGATAAACTACAAATTCTGGTTGAATAGGCGAGAATGGAATACAATTGAATGTAACTATTTCATGCCTTGGAGCAGTGATTTCCTCACAAAACATATACGTTTTCACTTTTATCAGCACTACATTCTTCCTCAAACTTGACTGAATTTCCTAATTTGTATGTTTTTTATGGTTTTCATTGTAATCTTATCTCTGATCTCTGCATTGCAGGAAAGCTGTTCGCCCAGAAGTCGGCTGCTCCTGCGGCGTCACAGGCTGTAAATCTGGCAGGAACGAATGGTTTCAGTGCCAAGTCCTCCTCGCATAGTCCCTCCTCTTCATCTTCCACTTCCTCTAAGGGACCAAATTAAGCCTCACTTGACCTTAAATGTGTCCTCAGCAAAATTATTTAGCACCATGCAAAAACTGTGTGAACTCTTAACTAAACTGCTGTCTCCTAGGACCCCTCTAGTTGTGCTAGTTGACTTCCTGTTTGTCTACTCAAGCAGTGCAGAAAGTCAGCCGTACCACTTCAGGAAATCTATAACTTTTACATTATTTTTACAATATAATGTGCTTTAAATAAGTTTTGTCAAGAGGACAGAGATGTTTAACCCCAAAGGCTTTAAAACTGACCATAATATAGATTCAGATCAGAGTTTACCTTTGTGCCTGTTAGATGTTTTTTCTTTTAAATGGCTTTACAAGGTTCGTTCAGAAGTGTATTTTGACTTTTCTTTGGTTTGTCAACTGCATTTATGTCTAATTATCTAACAGTTCTGTAGCTGCCTTTTTCCATAGCCATAGTAGAACAGTATGGTTGCCAAAATGCAGCTAATGAAGACCAAAAAGCCTTAGCTCAATGTCATAGCTCCTGTCTGTAACTGTTTTACTGGAGCCATTTTGTACCCCTTTTAGTTAAAATTTGGTTTAACCCGACCGAAAGCTCATAGTTTAATAGCAGCTTTCCAGGTTTATGTATAAAAAAAAAAAAAATTTGAGAAATGTTTTGCAGGTTGGATTTTTGTATGTTTTGTATTGTGTTTCATTTTATCTTTTTTTTTATATTTAATCATTTGGCTCAGCCTCAAATTAATTTCAAAACATTGATTTCATGTCAGCTTTGAATCAAAGGCAAAACCAGAGAGACGGTTTTGCTGAGACTTATATGTAGGGTGGAAGTGGTTCAACATTTACCTCAATTGACTTTCCATGTTGGTAAGTTTCTCGGGAATTTCTTCTGGACTCAGGAATGTCCTTTTGGACTCATCACTGTTATTCTGTATCTTATAATATATATTGCTGTGTTGTGTTTGCATTAATGCAGAGAATGTATCACTAATGACCTCAAGCTTTTGACAAGTGCACACTGAAACAGTGCTACCTCACTCTTCTAGAGAAATATGCAATACTTAATGCAGTGTGTTGGTTTAGACATCTGCTGAAATGGACTGTATGTGGACAATCAAGTAGACATATCAATCATGCAAACAAATGTCACTGTGAACTTCAGAAAGCAAGGTGTATGCTAAACTCTGTTTTGATCTTTGCTGAACGTATTTCTTGGACATGTGGCCATAAGGAATAAAACCATCTTGTGTGCTGTAGAAAGACTGTGTTTTGTTTTTCTTCAGCCAAGTCATTGTTACCTTTGGAAAACCCCTGCATTTATAGGCTTGTTTTATCATGTTCCAATAGAAGTTAGCCTTGCGGTTGATAATGTTCGTTTAAGATTATAAAATTGTGTAGTAGTCTTTTAATAGACGTGTGTCAGCTTGAAACAATCCTAATAAGTAGTTAAGCATTTAATACCTCGTCAAAAATCTCAGCACAGGTCCACTTATTGGCTGTTGACTGATCTTTAAACTGCATCTCACAATCTTCACCAGTGACTGAAATGATTTTTGATGTCACACATACTGATCCCAATGTCAAGAAATGAATTTCCATGTTTAGATGTATTTAGGACATTCTAAAACCTGGTTTGCAACCAAAAACCCAAATGGTAGAATGTAAATGAGTGTCTTTATTCAACTTGAGTACTTTCCATTTAATTTTACTTCACACTTCCAATCCAAAATGCACTATTTACCCTGCATATCAATCAAGAGTTTACATAGAAAACACATGGATCATTTTACAAATGTAATGCATTGTCGTAAATTAAACACATTATCAAATTACTTTTGATATTTTAAGTATATTTTGCTAAAAATAAGTATGCACCTTTTTCCGCACTATAATAATAATTGAGTATTTTTAATTGCAGTATTTCTAGTTTTACTCCAGTAAATGATCTGAATACCTGCACCTTTGCTGGACAGTACATGCCAAAGGAAAATAATACACGAGTGAGTGGCCAGATGGGGGTAGTATTTACTCTGCTATAAAAAAAACGAGACCACACAAGTTCAAGGGTCTTATTTATCTGTAAACATGCACATTTATCCGTATTCAATGTATCATCTCTGCTTTTAATCTCTTTAGCCAAGAGCATGGACCAGTAAACATGCAGTATTTTGTTTCCCTGTCTATAATCTTAAAAGTCATTTATATTTTCTTCCTAATTGAGACCTTGGTGTTTTTCCCACATAAGTCTATCAGAAGTCTACTTAATTTCTACATGGAAGAGGAAGAACGGAAAGAGTCTGTATTGAGAGTTAATTCCTGAACTCTGCAGCAGACCTTTGACAGACTTTATACCGGGTTAAACTAATGGAGATGAGAGCTCACGGGTCAGATGATAAGGTCAGATTGAACAGGTTGTAGGATTTAATGTGGGGAGGGTTATTCTATAACACTGCTGGATGGCATCTGGAATACTGTAGAAGAAAGATGCTACAGGCACAATTCAGAGGTATTATCAGATGATATCTCCGCCCACTGCCCCGCCAACCAGGGCGGAATAATACTCGTCAAGTCACTGCAGATGAAGGGATCACTGTCCTCGGACGATGACTGGAATATATTGTCAATGTGCAGGTTTTATTACTCAAAACTGAAACTTGTGTTTTAAATAGTGTGATTTTTTTGTGCCTTTGTGTTTCTGGCACACCCAAATAATGGCATAGATTGCCTGAAACAAAATCATGTGAGGGAGATCTCCAGGACTGAAAGCCAGAATGTGGTTTAATAAGCCAAACAAATTATCCTCTTCACCGGGACTTCTTGGCTTCTACTTGTGGATGTTTTAAAATAGGCTCTGACAAACCTTCAGCACTCTGTTGGCACCATGCCTTACCACGATGAGGAGTATCCGGGTCAGCCTCTGTGGCAGTCGGTGCTGCTCTTCTGCTGTAAGGGTATGATCGAGGGCATCATGGTCATACTCTTCTTCTGGCTCCTGGTGCAGGTCCTTTTCACCAAACAACTGGAAGGTATGGCCCTAAAGGATAAGTTCACAGTTTTTATGATTCTAAATTAACATCCGCATTTGTACCAATACAAGTATGTGGTACAACGTTTTTAGGCATGTGAATATTGTTCTGAACAGTTTCTGAACAGCTGCCATCTGATTTAAGTTATTATTCTCTCTTTTGTCTGCAGTTCACCTCCAAATCCTTCTTTTGGTCGGACTGATCGCTTTTTGTCTCAGTTTGTGCCTGGGATGTGTCCTGTGCTGGAGAAGTCATATGAGTGAAGTGAAAGACAAAGATGCTGTGACTTCCGTACAGGCTCCTGCTGAACCTTTGACCTTTGTCCAGAGCCCGCCTCCCTCATTGCCAAGGCAGCAATACGAGGAGCTGGACGGAGACATGGAGTACCCCTCCACTTTCACCAGCCCTGCCCCTTCGGTGTCTGAATTGTCCTCTCTGCCATTCTCTAAACCAGCTAGAGCTGCCTCTGAACAGACGCACCAGCCAAAGTCTTATTTCTCCCTGCGTCGCCTCAACACAACACCACAAACAGCCCCCCTTTACAAAGCCATTGATCCCAGCCATGCTTCCCTGCCTGCATTTCCCAAACTGGGACAGTTGTCCAAAAAATGTAAGACTCTGCAGAGGCACTGCATGGTGACTGGAGATAAAATATCTTACAATGAACACAGCCGGCTCACTGGCCCCAGTGCTGTCTCTCCTTCAATGCCTGAAGAACGAATCCCACTGGCTCAACTGAGCTATGGCTCCAGTGCCAGCTGCCAACAGCCAATATCACCAAATCCCTGCCTCAATTTCACTATGGCTTTCTCTCCAGAGCAACAAACCCTGGCAGTGACTGTGCTCAGCCTCACTGGGACGCCCCACAGGCTGCAGGATGTGTCTGTGCTGGGCAGCCTGCCGCCTCTCTACCCCTGTCCCATACAGGCCTCTGCCCAGAGCAGGCTCAGCCCAGAGACCCACAGCCTGGTGCTGCTTTTGAAGGTGAGCTCTGTGAAGGAGCTTATGAGGTGTGTCCTGAGAATAGCCATATACACACGGGAACCTCCCAGCATGAGAGGCACCACGCTGGCTGAACTGGAGGCTGAATGTGGAGGGAGAGACTGGGGATCAGAGCAACAATTTCACTTCACAAAAGAGCTCGATCTAAACAAGTGGAGGACAAAAAAGGTACTGGTGTGTTGAACTAAAATATGTGAGTAGGTGTTGAATTCATTTTAAAGATATAGAGCAGAATAACCTGTAAGGACAACTGTATCAAAAACATGTTGCTGGGCCCCTTTCGAGCATGTTTACGGTGCATGTTTAAGATCAAAGGTCAAGACCTTTAGGGGCCCATGTGGGTCTCGGGGCCCAAGGCAAAGTGTTGCCTGTTGAGCCCAGTTGGTAATCCTGTAGAAAGGTCACAGTTAAATGATCTGCTGAAACGTGCAACAAGCGAAAGACATGGAGACAAACAAAAATCTGTATTTGTCAGTATATAAAAGGCGATGTTTCCTATGGTGATTTATCTGAATGTTGTACTCTACAAAGCTACTGCACTACACATGCTGCATGTCCTGCGGATCAATGTTTCTCTTTCTGCTCTTTGACGGCAGAGTCTGATATCACACGATGCACCGCCCTGTAAAGTGCTAAGCTGTCCTCCACAGATCTACATTTTGCTTCAGTATCAGACTACGGCCCACCGCATCAAAGCCACGGTCCTCAGAGCAGAAAACCTAGAAAACCTCGTCCACTCGCTGGCAGCAGCAGGTAAAGGCGGCGTTTAATGTCACTAGAATTTGACAAAATGTGTATTTCATTCAGTGATCCTGTAAAGACAACCTGCATAGGGATTATGTAAGCATGCAGGGCGGAACCAACTTTTGCTTTTTAAGGGCTGATGTAAAGTAATTCCCTATGTTTGCTTTTAATGTTTAGGGGATTAAATGATGTTTTACAGGACTCAAATGCAGCAGGAGATCATCCCTTTTTTTAATGACATTGTAGTTTAATCCCTCACTATTCACAATCCGCAGGAAAATGTTCCAATCTCCTCTGGATCTCTGATCTGACAGATCTAATCTTTGTTTGCATTAGCCTGTCTAGGCATTACTTTTATTGCAGACAAGCACATCCTGTATAAAGAGCCATTAGATGATATCTGTCTCAGTGCCGTTATGTCACATGAATTTGACTAGGATAATCTGTTTGTTTTATATCAGATTTGTTCATGCGAATAGACAGAATGGCATTACAATGGATAAAGATAGGGGGAAAATGCATGTTATGCTTTCTAGAGAGAGTGAGAACAGTAGAAAATGTTGTCAGTTTGATAAACCTACTAGTGTGATGTGCTTTTTCAACATTTCTACCTTTTAGGTTTAGGTTTTACATCTGACTCATCTATAAGAAAATGCCTGCTCGTCTGCATTTTAGTTTGGTAGCTGTTGCAAGAAAATATTTTACACCAAAAACATTGTGGCATGCGAACTCTACTCCACTGCTTCCATTTACTGTAGTTGGAAAGCCACTTCTTTCCTGCATGCATTTGAATATCAGCTGTCATGTTTAATTTTTGTTCAATAATAGACTTTCTTTCACACTTATAATCTTTGTGTGCACAGAATACCAGGTGGTGATTAATCTGCATAATAAAGGAGTCATGATCAGCAGCAGAGAAACTGAAGGAAGCTCCTGTACTCTGTGGGATTCTTCTTTCCTGTTAGACCTGCCTCCAGGAGAGATCACTCAGCTGCCCCTCCTGCTTGAGTTTGTTATCATGCAGGTACATATCACAGAGTAAAATGCATTTATGCCAATTTATACATGTTTTCTTAACATAACCCTCTGAATTCCACTTTCTATTTCCTCTCTAATGGGACACATGTAGGTCCTTCCTGAAGGAAAAGCTGTCGGTCGAGTGCTTATCGGAGCAGAGGCTGCAGGTGCAGGACTCGCTCACTGGAGGGACATGTGCAGCCTGCAGGTGGAGCAGGCACGCTGGCACATTGTACAACCAGAGTGTCTATAGAGTGCTGACACTCAAGAAAAACTTTGGGAGCAGTGGACCTGATGTATTGTAAAAACTCAGTGGGTATCCGAAGTTAAAAATATCATGTCACCTTTGCCATGAAGGGCACACAGCTGGTGTTTACATTGTATATGAAATTGTTTGATTACTGAGAGTTCATCTGTGTGTATATATATGTATATGGGCAATCAGCAATAGCCTTAGTAATGGCCTTATTTCAATGGATCAACCTGTTAATACTCCATTGGGAAGGTGCTGTAAGTGCACAAAACAACCTTTGTAGAGTTCAGAATGCATGGTCTTCTAACAGAACAATGTATGTCGTCTTTCTAAATGGATCTTTTACATTTTTTGGAGAACTTAATAATATCTTATAACCATTCAGTCACTCTACATGTAAATAAGAGGAAAAACATAAAGCTACTTGAAGTAATCGTTTGTAAAAGTCCTGCTTAACATCAGTCCTTGTTACTGAAATCCATGCAATACATTTATTTTTTCATGTGCATATGGAATTTTATTGTTACTCTAAGATAGTTTTTTTAAATATCTTGTTGGCTGTTGGACTTTCTGAATGATGTGAAGAACGGTAGCTTGCCATATGAATAAAAGACAGGTTTTGCTTGCTTGGTGACTTTTATTAACAGTGTCATCTGAGGTAAAAGCATCTATCAAGTATAACCTTAACATCATTGTGTCTTTAAATTGCTGAAATAAGTTAGTCCTTACATTTATTTTGAGTAAAACATTTAAAGCTATAAGGCACAAAGTTAGCTGGTTCAGCACAAACACCTCATTTGTCTCCTTCCTCCTCTTCATCTGGGCTACAGATATCTACCAGCTCAGCCAGGAATAATCCATCAGGATAGAGCAAAGGGGGCTTGATCTGCTGCAGGTCGGTCACATCTGAACCGAGAGCAGTCTTGTTTTTTGCAGTAAGAGGGCAGTCCTGGATTGGTTTGCACCTTAGTGTTGCTGAATCAGGAAAAAAAAGACATAAGTCACACAAAACATACACATTTTAAAATGTCATATCTTGCAAATACAGAAGATAGAAAATCAAGCAAGAACAGAAGAATAAAAATAAAAATCAATTAAGATCAAAGTAAACAAATACAAATTAGAAAAGTAGCTTGTTATTGTATTAATAATGTATGAATCCCATAGATTTCCCAAAAGCTCAAAACTATAAACATTGCACATATCAAAGCAAATGTCTACACTACTGATTATTACATTAATTCATGCACAACTTCACCTGGCAGCAGATTTTCATTTTTTGCCTTCAGTTTGCAGATAACTGCAGTCATAGTTGACATCTGGCAGGGGAAAGAGCAGTTTTTAATCTCTAATTTAATCATAATTTTGGGTGCAGAGACCTCTTTTGCAGATGTGTCTGTAGAATGCTATTTAAGTAAATTGTTGTTGTTATATGTTTTTCAAACGGAAGCTTAAAAAGTGCAGAAGAGGGCAACTTCTTGTTTATCAAATAAGATCTGCATCTGTTGTCACAAAGTCTAAAGTTTTAAGAAGATAAAATGTGCAGTTTCTTATTTATCAGCACTGCAAACCATTAAGAGCTTTTAAAGACTTTGATAAAGACTTGTTGTATTTTATCTGAATGTTTTTCAGTACAAGACACTGACGTACTGTAACTCTTTCCTATCCTCTTATCATTGAGTCAGATGTGTTCCAGTTGACCGGTTCACTCCTCAGCTTCAATCAGATTATTTACCCAGTAGAAAGAGTCATATGTGAGATTATAGCTGAAAGACATTTCACATTGCGTTTAAGTGGTTATGCAGCCAGGCTGACACTCCTCCCTGTAGGCCTATATTCTTTGATTAAAGCAGAAACTGGGATTAGTGCACGTGTGTGTGTGTGTGTGTGTGTGCGTGCGTGTGTGTGTGTGTATGCAATGAATGAATGTGTGGGTAGTTCTGCTCATTTTATTATATAATATATGCAACGATTAAGCCATCAATGATATTAATTTCCACCGGTTGCAGATGCTAATACATTATATATCAAACATGCTTGCATGCAGACAGGCAGATGCAGATGGTCTTTGAGCTGTGTTGTGGCTGGAGGTTTAAAACTGATGTTTTAGTCATTTAGCAGTTGCATACAACCTGTTTAGACTGTTTGTTTATGTTTTTCTACTTAAAAAAACGTTACATTTGATGTAATCTAAGTCTGTGCAACCTGTTGGCTTTGGTTGAGCCAGTTTTCCTCAACATGAGCCTCCTCCCCTCCTGGACAGTCACACTCCTCTTCATCCTCCTCAAACACTGGCATTAAACCTGAACCATGCTGCCAGATCCTCCTGTCCACTGAATTCTGAATGGAGAAAAAAATGAAAATATTTAAGTTAAATGTAAAAACTCTAGCTGTATATGTTAGTTTCTGAAAGGTTCCTCACCCTTACACCCTTAGATGTTTGGGACCGGTCTTCTGGTGAGGAGGGTGCATTTTGACCTGCAGCTAATCTGTTGTCAACCGTTTCCACCTCTTTTCCTTCTCGCTCCTTAAACAGATTCTTTAACTACAACCATGGTAAGATACAGTATATTCATCAAGTGATGCTTTGTCATTTACAAAAGGTAAAAACAAGGCTTACAGCCCTACATGGCTCGAGCTAAATGCTAATGTAATGAATATGACAATGCTAACGTGAGGATGTAGCACCTTTCTCCTTTGTTATTGTTACCCTATTAGTTTAGCATGTTAGCATGCTAACACTTGCTAATTAGCAGTGGTGGAAGAAAGAGGCTACTTTTGCTTAGGCCTACAAGTGAAAGTTATCAAGTATGAAAAGTCAAACTAATCAATTATTCAGAATTGACAATTAAAGTATTATTCATATTATATTATTGGATTATAATGAACATTGCAACTGGTGTAGCTACTTTATTCTCTTCTGGTAGCTTGTGTATTTCAGCTAAATACTCTCGGGAAAGTATGTCTAAATAAAATGCTTGACCTATTCATCAAATAGTTGTTGAGATATTTCGGTCTTAAAAATGTATCAGACCAACGTAACCAACCCTAGATCCTTGTATTAAAACAAACTGAAATGGTGTTAGCATCAGGCATTGTGTACCTGCTCAGTGACCATCCTCCTCTGCTGATCTGTCTCTGGATCTAAAGGAGAGACAGTTGTATCCTTCCTGCCTTCAACAGATGGTATCTCATTTTGAACCTGTAGATAAGAAATCTGTCATTCATTATGTTCACTACCACTATAGAAGGCCATCCTTAGAGGTGTTGTTTTTATGAACTTTACCGGATAAAGCTGCCTCAGTGTTTGGAGCCTCTGGTCTGACAATGTTTCTTCTTCCTGCAGCTGCCTCGTTCTCCTCCTGCTCTCTGAAATCATACGAAGGAAGAAGATGTTTTACATCTGAGCCAGTGAGGAAAAGCATTGCATGAGCCTACCAAATGTGTATTTATTTTAAAACAGTCTCTTACCTTCCAGCTGGGACCTCAGTGAGTTACTGGTCCAGATAGTTGCTTGGTTTCCATCATCCTGAGCTTCAGAGGACTTTAAAGTGAGTGTTCATGAGAAACAGATGATACAGGAAGAAGAGATGTGCTGGTTATTCCAACCGTTCAAGCACAGATCTATTGTGTTTTTAATTAATAGCTTGATGAGGCTGCATGTTTAGATTGAGAGAAAGAAAGTGAGACATCTTTAGTTGAACCTGTTGTTTTCAATTTCTCTCAGCCTTTCCAGACTCTTAAAATCTTCTTCATTATCACATTTAGATTATCAACCGGTTACAGAATCACTTCCCAGTCTTTAAGACAACTCAGCATTTGTAAGCTTACTTTTCCTTTTGTTCCCTTACTCTGACAGTTTTTGCTTCTGCCTTAACCTCGCTGCGTTGCATACACACACCTATATATCAAGTCAACTGTAAGTATCCTACACACTAAATATTTATCCTACATACATGTTTACATACAAATACATCACTGTAGTCCCCCACCCCCACCCTAAATTCAAAAGTTCAGTGAGAGAGGAACATGTTGTTACCTTGGGGGCTTTGTTTTGGCTGCTGTGAGAGGCTGATGATGGCTCCCATAACAAAGAGGATTCTGATAATCTGACGAACAGATAGTCAGAGTACACGATAAAGACTCAGATAACAGAATTTCATTTTGAGCGTTTGCTGATCATGCATTTTGAAAATGACAATCTCATCAAAATCCACCCACTCTGTCTGTGTCCCTCTGTCCTCAGTCTGTGCCAAGGCATCAGTGCCTGCAAATACAAGGTCACAGCACTTTAACGCCCCCTTGTGTTAACACAATAAAACAACACTTGTTGATAACATTTGCAGGTGCCACAGACTGCTGAAAGAGAAGTACATTCACCTTTATCTTCACATCTGTGAAGCAGAGTCCTGCTCCTCTCCAGCTCCAGCTGTTGTTTGCATGCGCCAAGCTCAGCCTTAAGCAGCAAGTCCGATTCCTTCAGATAAAATGCATATTGGTAAAAAGTGATTATCTTGTCTTTCTGGCCCTCTATCTTAAGTCTTTTAATCTCTGTTGAGAGATTTACAGCTTGCATCTAAATGCACTGATAGAGATTAAAGCTATTTGTGGGGGATACCCATACATACATTTCTGGAGTTGCTCTTTTTGACTTCCTCTAGCTCCTCTTGCGTAGACTGCAGGGTCAAAGCCACCCTTTGCCATTTCTGTGCCCAGTGTGAGGCCACAGCCTTCAGCTCCTCGTTGCTCTGGAGTCTCCCTGCGTCTTGTTTTCGGTGCTCTACCTCTTGCAGTTGTAGCTTTTCCTCCCTCTCAAGGACCCCGGCCTCCAAATACATGCAGCGATCCTGCAGTTTCTGCTTTTCTAATTCCAAAACCTCCACAGATTCCCTGCATAAATAGTTTGTGGGTTTGAGGACCGAGGGTACCCTACTTTTTAATAAGTTTATCTCCAGAATTGAAGGATTTGTTACTTGATTAACATCTCACCTGAGCAGGTGGCACTTTTCTTTCAGCGCTGTTATCTCTTCATGTCCACTTTCACTAACTTTACTCAGCAGTTCCTCTCTTTCTGTGGTCAGCTGAGCGCAGTCTGCCTCCAGATCTGTGATCCTTTTAGAGATGGTTAGCCTCTCCAAGATTTCTTCCTGTAGCTGAGACTGTGATGTTTTCAGTTTCTGCTTAATCTTTTCAAGCTCCCCTGTCAGCTTTTCATTTACCTGTTGTAAAGACACAACAGGGATCATTTTATAAAGAATTCAGTAAATGTGAAATAAAAAAAATTATGTTTAGTTGAAGCTTTCCACCTCTTTTAGCGACTTTAAATCTTCCTTCATTTGAACAGTTTCCTGATCGTGTTTATTGCTTTGGGATTCGCAACCCTCTGGACCTTGTTGGGTCCTCTCCTTAACAACACACAACAGAAGAAAACAAATCGTGTTGTAATTCACACACATTATAGTTTTTATCTTAAATACCTTAGACACAGTTAAACATTTTATACCTGGATCAGGTGATCTTTGTCAAACAGAGCCCCTGTCAGTTTGGCCTTCAGCTCTTTTATATTTTCTTCCAGTTTTAGTATTTGAGTTGACAAGATGGCTTTTTCCTGAGAAGAATCAAAGACACATTTCAAGATGTAATTCTTTCCGATGATTATGAAACAAAGGGCCCCTTGGCACAGACGTGCAACAAACACCACATGTCCTACATAATAGCAAGGCCTACAGACTTTATAGTTCTCTTTGTGTTAATCATGCATTTCTTTGCGGTTATTTAATCAGCGGCAGACTTACCAGGCATGCTTGGCTAATCTTGTTGTTAGCCTCACTCAGCTCTTCTTGCAATGTAGAGAGATTCTGTCTCCTTTGATTTGTTTCCTCTATTTGATTCAACAGAGTCTGCTGTGTCTGGAAACGTAGAAACAAAATGCACAGAGCCTAAAGATGTGTACATTGAACAAAAACTAAATAGCAGCACAACAAACAACTACAGTGTGACTTTGTGTACAAATATTTTTTATAGTATATTTTAAGATTTCCGATATATCATTTATACCTCTGTAGAAATCTGGAGTTTCTTGAGCGCCTGGTTGAGTTCATCTTCTTTTGTCTTTGCCCTCGCCTCAGCATCTCTTAGAGCATCTGTCAGCTTGCACAGCTCTAAGTCAACATTCTGCGTAACCTGAATTCAAATCCAAGTCAGAGATTGGCAAACAAAACTATGGAAGAATGCATCATTTAGAAAACATCTGTTTTTATAATACAAAAAGCTTACCTGTCTGTTAAAGTTGTCTTGACTCTTCGGTAATGTTCCGCTAAGCGAGTCAAGATTTCTCTCCGTTGGCTGATCATGGCTCCTTCTGTCCAAAGTTGATCTCAGATGCAACAACTCTTTCTCCAGCTGTAGCACCCTTATGAGTGAATTTCACAACAGTACTTTTAATCTTATCTAAAGTCTTTTAACTTTTCCTTTCTATGTGTTTTGCTTCACTTACTTTTCTTGAAGCGCTCTGCGTTGGTGACTCTTTCCAAACTGTATTAATTCAGCTGCCTCTTTCTCCTGCTCCAAAGTGGCCAGTGTTTCTGACAGCTGCTGTGAAACACATCAGTGCAAAACAGGATGCTGTGTGCATATGAAACAAGATTAAACTTTTACCATAGTGTCCATAATGTTTTCGCTTACCTTATGTTTCATGTCAAGCAGTTGTGCAGCAGTTATGTTGTGGCTCAGCGGTGAATTTCTCATCCTCAGCCGGTCCAGCTGAGTGTCTAAACGCTTGTGAGCATCCTGCAGCCAATGGGCTCCTTCTGCTTGTCTATAGCTGCTTTCACCTCGAGCAAACCTTAATCCAGATCCTGGAGATGGAAGAAAGGGCTGTGTCACACATTCAGGTGCTAGGTGGGACAACGACTGCCACTTCCTCAGACCTGGGTCACTCTGTCTGAAGCCACCAGTGCTCCCAGATGTGCTGGAATACATAACATATATCAACCAACCTTATTACTACGCATCACTGACTTTAAAATTGCCAACAGCATTTCTGACACTTAACTAATTTCAGTATTTCCTCACCTGGAGCTGACATCCGACAGAAACCCAGTCCCAGAGACAGTTGCAGTACCACACCATGCTGAGCTCTAAGAAAGAAAAAAACATATTTCTTAAAACAACTCCTCTCTGATCAACCAACCTGCTATACCAGATACAAATATTTGGGTCTTACTTGAGCTGTAAAACGAGATTTGGTGTCCCACATGTCGAGGTCACTGAGAGAAAATGGACTTGAGCTTCTGTACGACGGTCTGAACATTTTGGAGAGTCTTCCTCGATCCAAGTCATGTCTTCTCTTTGTACGGGTGAGGCTGCAGTCTTCCTCTCCCCACGTATGACAGGGTTAGATTTTCACACAAAGGTGGCAGCTTGAGGTGTGTGGCTATTCTTGGACCATGTGTCTAGATATTTCCATTGCTTGCGTGATGGTCAACAACTAGTTTTAACACTGCATGATTATTACAGGGTTTTTGTGATTCACATAATTATTTTGTCTCATTTTACATTTGTTTAATCACATCTTTTTCTATTTTAAAGGCAATTATGTCTGTATAAAAATGTGATTGACAAGAAAATAAACAATACATCTTTTGATCTAATACCTGGAGTCTGCACACAATTGCTTCCTCTTACAGTACCTTGCTGCAGAAACCCCCTCCTCTCCACTGACAATGCTCACTTGCTTTGCTTGTAAAGCATCACACAGCTTTGATTGCGAGCTTTTCAGTGTACAGTCTTTGAATTGAGTATCCATGGTAACTTGTGTACACAGGACGCAGTGAGATGGGTGTGTCATGTGCTAACACTTCTGGGATAGTCTCCATATGATCTCACTGCTGCTGAGTGGCTGTTTGTTGACATGAGTCGTTAGGAACATCTCCCCAACACTGATAATAATGCACATAGCTAACCTCTGATTAATGATGTACGACAGTGAATGTGTAATGATTGATGATGGTTGCCTTAAGGGACACACACAAATAATGATTTATAATTATGCTGTTAGAGGGTTTTTTGACTTCAGTTTCAGTAACTAATGCAAGTATATCAAAATTGCCTATTGAGTTATTTTCTATTCCCCCTTATTGCCGTATCTATATGGTTTATAGTTAAATTACATGTGTTGTTATTAAATACAATATAGTAGTAGAGGATATAATGTTACCGCCAGGGATGATGAATGTCAGATAGTAACATGGCTTTACCAAGTATGCTGATACTCTCCAGCTCAGTGTGAAATATTGCATGCAACTAATGAAATAGTTGTTTCTTTGCATAGTCCAGGCAAATCATTATTCAGCTCTATGCTTCAAAAATATTGCACATCCCAATTAATAATGGTCATTAGCGCTACATGTGACTCAGACTTTCAAACAAAACAAAACAAAAACACAAGCTTAAAAGGGAAAATCAGCAGCATGTCAGATTGTGCGTAAACATTTCAGGGTTAAACTCTTATTTCGAAAAACGCCTTATACCGGAAGCAGGATGTTGTCATCCAGCAGCTAGCACCAGCAGCATCTTTTGACCATTCAATGAGCTAAGAGCTAACAGTTTAAAGGAGCTACACTTTTCCTTGCAGCACCTAACTTTACACTGTATTCATTGGTTTTCTTGAAAAGAGTGTGTTTCGTATAGATTTCAAAAAGGTACAAAACTTAAACACGTGTTTAACCAAATACGGTGTTTGCGTCTTTTAATGAACGCTAGAAAACAGGCCGAAGCTAACGCTAGTCACTTAGCATAACTTCGATAACCTCATGTAATCCGTGTTTGTGATGTCCTGCATTCAGAAAGTTACTGAATAATTTAAAATCACGTTTGAAGTTATTACAAATATTATCCGACAACTAGCTAAATATTCTGTTCTTTATCCTTGTGCAGTCATGGCAGCCGATTGGTTGGGTAGTTTGGTGTCAATTAACTGTGGTCCAACGCTGGGAGTGTATCAAGGAAAGGTGGTGTCTGTGGACCAGTCCAGCCAAACCATCTCCTTAAGACAACCTTTCCACAATGGAGTCAAGTGCCCTGTTCCCGAGGTCACTTTCAGGTAAAGCTGTACTTTATTTAAATTCTTGGCTCTTCTTCCTCGGTTGCACCCAAAATACAACACATTAACAACAAAACAAAGGGAGATACGATACAATACGAGAAAGTAAAGTAAGCACCACAAATATAATCAGCCTTCACATACAGTATCATATGTAGCCTTAAATAATTGCTGTTATTATTTTCTTTATAAAATTGATCGTACTGGTAATCTAGGATCGATGTAGTTTATCATGATTGATGTAGTCCTTTACATAACAGTTTATTTGAAGCATTGGTTTTAGGTAAAGATAATGTAAAGTGTCACATGAAGGTATGACTGGTGTGTCATCATTTTGTCTGTCTGGTATGTAGGTTAATCACACATTGGTCTTATGTACTGTATGTACCAATCGCAATTGGTATAAAACGCTGTTGCTCATTGGGTAGCAAGGTGAACAGCTCTGTTTTGAGTGAACTGGATCTTATTAAGATTGAAAGCATCTTTTGAAGCACTAAACCAGATGGCTAGACAGTTATCGAGGTGGAATGGAAATTACATTACTATTATAATTGTAATCTCTTTTATAAAGTTAGTGGTCTTCCAATGACAAAAATGCCTGCCGCTGTTTCTTTCTGTCACTAAATATAAAATTGTCCCTTTTTTCTGCAGCGCCATTGACATAAAGGAGCTCAAGATTTTAGATATCACAATTGGCAATGCTAGAAACAGCTCTTCTGCATCTACAAAAGTAAGCAGTGCTCCAGTCGCAGTCCCAAAGGGCGACCCCAGGTCTGCGGCGAATCTCAACTCTCCTCAGCACTGCTCCAAAAGCCAAGGAGAACGTCACGTGGACATACCTGGCCAGCCAAAAGGATTTCGTCGAAGACACAACTCCTGTAAGTCCCGGAACTTCAACTTTTGAGCTTTCATTTGACGTTAAGAACACACACCGTTGCAGTCCTATTGTTGATTGTTGCTCTGTTGAGATGATTATGTCATTTTCCCATCAGGGTCATCTAGCAGTAAAGGGGCAAACCAAGCAACACCGAAAAAGAATGGTGTGAAGAACGGCCAGATGAAGCCCAGAGACGACGAGTGTTTTGGGGAGGCCACCGACGACGGGCTGGATGCTGATTTTGATTTTGAAGGAAACTTGGCTCTTTTTGACAAAGCAGCAGTTTTCTCAGAAATCGACATTTCGGAGCGCCGTAACGGTGCAAGATCACGTGGGACGCCTCTAGACCAAACGCCCACACGGTACCGCCATGATGAAAACATCCTGGAGGCCAAACCTGTTGTGTACAGACAGATTACTGTGCCGCAGCCTGGGGCCAAAGAGTACTGCACTGGTAAGTTGTAAAGTCATTGTAAAGAAATAAAGGTACTGAGGGCAAATATCTAAAGACTGTTATATTTTTTTTTTTTACCTTTTAAATATTTCGTTCCATCAATACAGACTCTGGGCTTGTTGTACCCAGTATATCCTATGAACTACATCAGCGTCTGTTGTCAATCGCTGAGCGCCACGGTCTCTCACTGGAGCGAAGACTTGAGATGACCGGAGTGTGTGCGACTCAGATGGCGCTCACGTTGCTGGGAGGACCCAACAGGTGAGGATGTACTGATGGTTTGTTAGCACAGATGAGAACAGCTTTAGGTAAAAAATTATAGTTAAGTCTTACTATTTTTGTTTCGCCTTCTGAGCTAGTATCCTGCAAAAAGAAATCTGCCAAGAATAACATATCAAGCCAGTATAGTGTTCAAGTTCCATAGAAATTAGTTGGTAACAGTTAGCATTTTATATTTTCAACGCCAAACATAAGTTTACTGCTATCCAGTGCTTGGAGAGTGCAAACTTCAGGAAATTCAACTTAGTCTCTTTTCCTTGTTTCCTCTAGATTCACTCCGAAGAACTTACACCAGCGTCCCACAGTGGCTCTGCTGTGTGGCCCTCATGTTCAGGGAGCCCAGGGCATCAGCTGTGGTCGTCACCTGGCCAATCATGAAGTGGAGGTCGTCATGTTTCTGCCCAATTTTGTCAAGATGCTGGACTGCGTCACCAGCGAGGTCACCCTCTTCAACAAGACCAGTGGCAAACAGGTGTCAAGTATCAAAGGTATGCATTTCTTTCTACTTTTGGTTAGATTTTTTCATCTCAGCTAAGCCTAACTGTGGGGAGATTTTTGACTGTGTGCATATTGAATATATTCATAATGTCTATTTGTGCTCTTATAAGACTGTATGGTTAAGGATTTTTTTTAAATTAACTACATTACAGTCTCGTGCTGTTAAGATGCATATATTTTTTTATCTTAACAGTATGAAGCATGGAGGGACAATTAAGTGAGATACAAGTCCTCATTGTTTGGGAAAGGAGAGGGAGACCAACTTGGTAGAGATCTGCACTCTGACTACATTTTGCATTCCAAGTGGTCAGATATTCAAATGTTGCTCTTTGATTTTTCAGACCTCCCAGACACGCCGGTGGACTTAATCATAAACTGCCTTGACTGCCACGAGAACACATTCCTGATGGACCAGCCTTGGTACCGGGCGGCTGCAGACTGGGCGAACCAGAACCGAGCGCCCGTGCTCAGCTTAGACCCTCCTGGTAGTGGACAGGGTCAGGCGGTGGAGGCCAAGTGGTCCCTCTCTCTCTGTCTCCCCCTCTCCCTTGCCGAGGGGGCCGGCAGAGTTTACCTGTGTGACATAGGTATTCCTCGACAGGTGTTCAAGGAAGTGGGAATCAAGTACATTTGTCCCTTTGGCTGCAAATTCGTCATCCCTTTGCACTCTGCGTAATGGGACTAATAGTCAACATGAATCTTTCACCCTCCATGACCATTGGGGTTTTGGCGCCTTATGTTCCAGAGTTCATCCATTACGTTACTAACTCATCGACATGAGAAAGGGACCACTGTTTGGTCAATTAGTTCTACAAGGACTAAGTCCCTGTGGGTGGGATAGGAAAGAGCTTTATTGAAAAAGTAAATGTGTTGACCATCAGAGGCTTCAGCCATAATGTAGATACTATTGTTTTTACATGATACTTTTTAGACACATCTGAAGTGTCAAAATAATATTACCTAATGTTCAAATGTTTCAGATTGACAATCTCTGACTTAAAAAGGAAATATTTCTGGATGTCACTGCAATCTAAACTCATTCTTGAGCCTATCTGGTGAATAAACACCATTCAAACATATATTTTGTTTAAATGTGATGATATTACATCACCACAGAAAACCAACATAGATTGGTGTCACCATTGCTAATGGCCTTACAGCCTGCCATACTCTGCAGAACTTTATTACTCTTACTTCCCATTTAAGCAAATGTGGAAAATTGTCATTTATGGGAGTAGTTTTCTACTTTCTTAACCAGTGTTGAATGGAGCAGCTGATAGAGAGAATCCAGATATCAGCAGTTTTGTTTGTTAAAGCTAAAGAAGGCCTTCATATGGGCTCTGATAAGATGTAATTTAAAACCTCTTATAGGCAAAAAGATTTGCTTACAGAAATGTGTTACTGAAGTCATGATGTTCCACTAGCTTCTGTGCAATCTCTCCTCTCAGTCAAGCCAATGTGTCATCCACTATAGTAGTTATGAGAAATATCAACCTTAAATTGAACAGGGATTAGTTTTTTAGCATAAAATAAGTACAAGCTGGGAACCTTTGTCATTGTGTCTTGGTTTTCATTCCTATCCGTTCGCTTTGGCTCTCTATTGTATGTTAAAGGACCACAGCAGAGTGTTTACACGTTTTAGTTCCTTAACTACCAATCATTTATGTAATCTGATCTTTTTTAAATGCAGAACACAGATTACAGATTTTTGGGAATTCATCAGAGCAATCATAAAGTCTGTGGTAGTTAAATTGTTTTGTCGTAATGTAGTTGATTTAAAAGAAGTCCATGCATTCTAGACATAGTCTGTTATGGACTAAAATGTCAAGAATGTCCAAGTGGATTTTCATGTTTTATGAAAACAAATGAAAGCCAATGGATGCCTGGTAGACAAAATGGTCTTAAGTTTCGACCTCCAGGCAGGTGAGAATGTCGACAGGTTTTTTCGGTTGACAACAAGTTGTGTTTTCTTAAGTAAAAAGGCTCTTTATATTTCAGATATGAATGCATTTCCAGGTGAATCATCTGTGATGAGAAATGTAACTAATGTATCTTTTTTTAAATTCCCTCTCCTGGTATTGTGAAGTATGCCTGTTGTGTGTACTCCACCATTAGTGGTATTTACAATGAGAGCTGCTTGTTTTGTGCTGCTTTACGAGGCCTTGACAGGGGGTTGTAGGCATTTCTACTGCCAAAAAATGTGACAATGAAAGTCAAACCCTTTGCTTGTTCTTTTACAAAATCACATTCTTTTTAAATGTGTCCAGAGACAAAGACCGTTGTATTAGGTACTGGACATGGACATTGTATACAACATGTCCCTAAATTGTGTATAATTGCGGTCAGTTTAGTCTATACAAAGCTGCACTGAAGCAGTTACAGAAATGATAAAGGAAGTCATCTGGGGAAAGGTTTACAGTGGTTTTGTATCCACAAAATAACATCTCAGGAGGATTAAAAATACTTCCATTATATGTTTGCTTTTTCTCTGTGCACATTATCCTGCACAGGGTTCATACACTGATTCTGTGAAAATGACTTATCATGCACAAAGGGTTTGTCCTTTCTCCAACATTCCTCCGGCCTGATGTGTTATGTCACATCTGTTGAGACAAGTCTGGCTGGGAAGCATCAGCCAGCGTTACTGATTGTGAAGAGCTGGCCGCCAGGGGGCCATTAAACCACACTTGATGTCTCTTCCTTATTCCTTTGTAATGGCAGCTTAATATACCTTTCCCCCGAAAATATGGGTATTTCTCTACGAAATGTGAACAGTCATAAACCATGTGGTGATCTGGCTTTGGCAGGAAAGCATTTTGAAAGTGTATTTGTTTAAATGCAGGCTCTGCTTCTTGATATATGCATTACATTAGTTTACATGTTTCACATCTGCGCTGGGTGTTTACTACATGCAAGGTTAGTTTGCAGTTCAGGAATAAAATGCAGCCAGTGGGAGGTTTTGTCTAGACAGTACAAGAGTTTCCTTTTTGGTGCGAAGTTCAGTATCAAGGTTCAAGTGCAAAAGTACTGTGCAGTCCTCTTGTGTCATGTCTGCAGATTGAAACAATAAACACTTTCAACGTTGCTTTATATGTGAGTACATTTTGTCCACATTAATGATCTAACACCTTCACCAAATCGCCTGAAATGAATTTAATGATACATTTTTAGCCGGACTAGTTTCTCACTAACGCGCATGTGCACTGCAAAAACAAGGTGGGGCAAAAAAAACTTGAATGTGTGTGACGGGTTAAAGGAGTGGGACAGGCTGAAGTACACTCAAATTAATCTGAAAGCAGTCGTTTAATGGCTGCAATATTTAACAAGTTGGGTTATCGCGTTTTCACCTCACTCATTTTGACTTTTTCCACAAAATCACCGTCGAGACTGCAGTGAGAAGTTCGTAGCAAAGTTGTTTTTTCTTCATATAAAGGGGCTTTTTCAGGTGATGTTGACAGGAGACGCACCAACTAAAGTCTCGGCTGGTTTTATCGAGATACTTTTGGACTGCTGAAGGTTTCGTGTCACCTGGGGCAGATTTCACTTCCTCGTCGGGGCTTTGGTTTGTTTTTTCGCCTCGATATCAACTGTCGGTATTTTTTTTGGGGTGAATGGGAATTTGTGTGCTGTCCCTCAGATGAAAAGGCTCTTCGGACAGTAAACAAGTCACCTGTTATTACCCGAAACGTCTCGGTTTTTGCCTGGAAAAAAAGGTAAGAGTTCTATTTTGAAATTGAGCCTTTGCTTGCAGATACAGTGAAGTTGTGGTTGAAGTAGGCTACATAATAACCCTTAAGTAAATGTTACTTCCTTGTATGTAATGAGTACAGGATAACTAAATGTGTGATATCCTGCCAATGTGGGGTGCAGCAGTTGCATCACGCAGCTCTCAAATGTCTCTGTTCCAACATGGTAGATAATAGTATTGATAATAGGCAATGTATCCTGCTGACTCAAAACTGTCACATAGCCTGCCATCTTTGAACGTTTCTTTGTGTCTTATATTGTAAAACATAATGCACAAGTAGAGGGTTAATAATGTCTTTCAGTTTGCTATTGCTTTTTGTCACTTATCTCTCATTCCAATGAAACAATTTACCAACCAGAACCAGCATTTGTGAGAGAGAGGAACTGAGGAGCCATTGGGTCTGTTTCAGGGTGATGCCCCTTTTGCAAGTTTCTGAAAAAGACTGAAGCTAATCTGATGCTGGCTGGCATTGTCTTATAATATGGCAGAAGATGGAGGGTGACACATCTGAAAGAAGCATGAAGCTTGTGAAACAGGCTCTTGAAACCACAGCAAAGCATACTCTGTGTTGCATGCACGGCTGCATCAGCAGAGCATGTTGAGCAAAGCTCTCAGCCAGGAAGTGTCCGTCTGCTGCTCAGGCATTCAAGCGTTGCCTTACATGGTGTTTTTGACGTGTAGACTAGTTTAAATCACCAATTACCCACACATGTCTGAACTTTGGATAGAAGTAAAATGCACAGTTTGTTGTAATGCCTGGGTGCCAAATTGAGGGGGGGTTTCCCCTGCCACTCTGACGACAGTCTTGCTTTTCAATGTGACGTTTTGTATTTAATTATGATAAGCAAGGTGCTATTTTACATGTATACCCTGCCAATGGCTTTTATGCCTTATATCAGCCTCAGAGGCAATACTGACAGTCATTAAAGTGACACAATGAAGGCTTGTGCAGCAGGGCCTGCCACTGGACTCGTACTTCCTGTCTTACTTCCTGCAGACAGTTGATACAGTGAGCTCCACAGTCCAGCTGCTGTCCTGGAGGCAGAGGTGATTTCCTCCTCTGAGCTTTCTGAAAAACATCTGCAGGCTCTCGGACTCGCATGGCTGAACGTTGGCAGGAACTCTTTCTGTTTCGGTATTGTCTCCTTCTCGGTGCACTTGGCCCTGCCACCCTGCTGCTGTAATGGTGATGATAACAGGGCAGCAGCATCAAAGCAGTCAAAAGAGCCTCCTGAGGCTGGAGGGTCAGGATCATACATGTATGAGGGGCAGATTACCCAGGACCCCCTGCTGCACACAGATGCAGGAGCACACAGTCAATAACACAGACATACTGCTCATTTTAAAAGTATTGCTTCAAATCACACTTAAAGCACAGAGGTTTTATCAACAAAATACACCAAGAGTACTCCTTACATAATTAAATGGCCGCTGTGTCTGATATATTGCACACTATATTATTAGATTGTTCATATTGGTGTATCGATATGTAAGCAGTATTTTACTTTTGTAGCTGATCAAGTCGTTTTACATTTTGCATACTTTATATAATTGTTAGGTGTCCAGAGGATCCCATCCAGCCTCTGAATTAATCGTTAACAAGGCATTTGATTTGTTTATAGCTATGTTTCTATTCAATGGTAAATGTTAATTGGAATTGTAAATCTAGCTGTCAGAGAAATGCTGTGGAGTGAAAGGTAGAATATTTCCCTCTGAAAGGTATAGTGGAGCTTAAGTACCCTCAAATAGAAATACTAAAGTGAAGAACACGTCCCTCAAAAATCTACTTACAGTAATGGAGTAAATGTACTTTGAAGAAACATTTCAAAGACCAGTGAATAATGTTGTTTTTCAGTGACAAATGTCCACATAGACGTCACTGTATCACAGCAGTTTTTCTACACCTTACATGATCAGCATTTTCACGTCTGCAGATAGTCGAGGGAGTGGCAGATTTAAACAAGACCAAAGAAGATATTTCTACATTCCTGTCCTGTCTTGCTTGGTGCAGTCAGGCTAACTCATCTGTAAAATTCAGACTGCGACTGGCTTGCAAAAGACAAGAGCCAAATGTTGATCAACCAGTTTGGTTTGAACAATTGGATCGTTATGGATGTCAAGAATATGCAAAATGGAACTATTGTATCCACAGTAGCTTTCTATCTACAGGTATGGCACCTTTATTTTAGTTACTTGTTACATTTGGAGTGTTTTTGTGCTCTCTGGGCTTCTTTCTGACTCATTTCATGTTAAGTCTGCCACTGGGTTTGCTGGTTTCCTGTTGTTCTCAGTAGCTTACTGTATGTCATGAGTCGTTTCTTCTGTAGCAGACAATTTCCACAGTCTGATATACAAATTCACTTATTAAAACATATCATTGTATTTATGTGGTTATTTTTTGCCTGTTTGAAATTATTTACTTCATAATACCAGAGCAGCTGACACTTGAACTCTCTGCATAAAACATGAAGTGCAACTGATAACTACTGAACTGAAGCTTTACTGAACCGAAAGCCAGTTACTGGGCTGACTGATTTATGATGATAAACTTCTCAATGAGACAGAGGTCAGTAGAAGCTCAGGGGTCAGTAGAAACTCACAATGATAGCCTTGTCCCCTTACTGAATCGAACAAGCTGTGGTTCCATGTGGAGCTTTCTGGAAATGGCAATGTGACACCATGACAGACCGAGTTCTGTCCCTTTCAGTCAGCCGCTGCTGGCCTGCTGTTGCGATGCGTGCACTGTCCAAAAAGAGAGGAATTAAAAAAATGCTTGGCCCCACTCATCTATTCCTCAGTCGGTGAGATCACTTTGCTTCTTCAATGAGGACAGACAGATTCTGTTGCAATCAACAAATTCTGTTTTAGAGCATAGTGAGCATTTGTATCCTACGTAGATTTTATTAAGATTGTATTTGTAACCACACTAGTAGCATTGCTCTTGGGATGGCATTGTTGGTCAGTCCTCTTTGGTCAAGGCTGTAATATCTCAACAACTATTAGATGGATTGACTTAAAATGTAATGTAATGTAATGCCTTGAGAACTGCTGGATGGATCACAATGACATTTAGTCCAAACACGAATAGTTTTTGTTCCACTTTCGTGATCCGCTGCCTTTTTTTTGGTGCTATTTATAACATGTGTTCCAATCTTTCATTTTCACGTAAAACAGACAGCCCTATTAAAAAACATTCACTAAAACAACACAAATTGTATTAATAAAATATACTTAAATCTATAAAAGTAAGACTATGCAGCTAAAATGAGTTCCTTGTGTAGACTTTTAAACCGTTAATAGGGGTCACCTGGAGGTATTTGGGTTAGGATTCTTTACAATGAGAATAATGCTCTACTAGCATAGTTTCAGACTTATAGTTTTTGTGTTTCCTGTTAGAACATTCCCCCAGAGTGAAATGTCAAAGTGTCACATAGAAAAGATGGGTTTGGGACGAGCAGATGCAAAGTGGGGGTGTCCTTGCTTGGTTGCTGGGCGTGGGAAATATGTCCAGATAGACAGCTGCGGGTCTCCACGGGGGACAACATCCGCGTCATCCTCATCATACTGGGTGATGACAGTCCTCTCTGGGACACATGAGCGAACATAAGTCTCACATTTAGTGTCTTTGAAGAGGCTGGTTCTTTATTTAAATGTGTGACATAGAAGAAATGCCAGTTTATGTTTTCAATGTAAGAAATATGCTTTTAAAAGGAAGAGCTTAAAGAGAACCCCACCCAAATACTGGTGTTTTCTAAATCTGGGCTCTCTCACAGGAAGTTCATTGCATAGTAATGGAGACGTCGGAGGATGTGACCTCATATAAAGTGACAGATCTATCAGCCAGGATTTTCCCTTAGCACTGACCATTAATCCCCCCCACTTCTCCATGGGAACTGATACAGGAAGAGAGGAAGTGGTGTTTTTCGGGGAAGGATTGAGAGGGGGGATGTTAAGCATGACTTAATCCAGAGGTCATCATTTGGTTATACCGGTTCTGATGTGTTGTGCATGTATCATGGAAACGCGGCCCCTGGGTGACTCAGGTCTGAGGTTAGAGTTGCAGTGGCTGCTTTATTGACGCAAAGAAACGCTGGACTGGATGAGTCCCTCTGGCCTGGTTAGATCTCACCACAAGTTTGCATTCCTGCGCTGAAGAGAGCTATCTTAACTCCTACAACGGCCAGTCATTGGTGCTTAGCTGGAGAGTGGAGTGTCCATTTTTGGTCAAAATGAACCGAGCACCATATGGAGTACATACTACATAATAGATGAAGTTTACCGCCTTTTCTTAATAGGCTAGAATATTTTCAGAAATCTTCTTTAGAGCATATTTCTAAGTTCGCTGAAGCCTTGTCTTTAGGTACAAACTGTCCTGTTATTCTGCGTCATGGAAACATTCTGCCCCAGTTGTGAAAGTGTGATTTCAAAAGAAGAAGACTTGTAAGTTCTGCTTTCTGAACCAGTGAGTTATTTTTACTCACACGTACTGATCTGACGCCACTTTAGTGCATTCTGATAATAGCTGAATTGTTGACTAATGAAAAAATTATACATGACATTACAAATATACACCGCGTTCATGTCACTCAAGGTCACCTTACATCACACCTGTACCTGTAGCCAGAGGTGGGAGAAGTACTCAGATCTCGTACTTGAGTAAAAGTAGAAGTACCAGAGTTTTGGAATACTCTGTTAGAAGTAAAAGTCCTGCAATCAAAATGTTACTCAAGTAAAAGTAGAAAAGTATTAGCATCAAAATATAGTACCAAAAGTAAAAGTACTTATTATCCAAATTGGTCCATTTCAGAATAATGTATTACATATATATATAATCCAAGGTAGCTTTTTAATTTACTCCAGGTGTAACTAAAGTCTTATTTAAGTGTTGATTATATTTCACATCATTAATCCAAATATAAGTAACTAAAGCTATAAAATAAATGTAGTGAAGTAACAGTACACATGATTTACCTCTGAATTGTAGTGGAGGAGAAGTACAAAGTAGCATAAAATGGAAATACTTGAGTAAAGAACAAGTATCCTAAAATTGTACCTAATTACAGTACTTGAGTAAATGTACTTAGTTACTTCCCACCTCTGTCACTTGTTACTTGTTAGACGCTTTTATCCAAAGCGACTTACATACTCAGTACTGTGGGCAATCCCCACAGGAGCAATTTGTGGTGAATTGTCTTGCCCAGGGACACAACGACATGCTGACTGCAGTGAGGTTTGAACCTGTGACCCCTGATACAAACACCAACGCACAACCCTCTGCACCACACGCCTCCCTCGCAAAAGAAGCACCAGTACGTGAACATCAATGAAATCCTCATAATAAGATATACAATGGGCAACTGAAAATAACACAGATTCAAGATCGGTGTAAAATAAGACATATGCTGTTAAAGTAAGTAAGATGGGTTCAAATGATGGTTTTGAAGAGTGGTTTTAATTTTGTAATGGGTTCCAGTTTACGATGTGAGGGGAAAGTGTATTTCTCATACTATTAACATGCTCTTACACACCAAGAAACCACACATTAATTGTCTTGCTGATACTTTGTGTGTAGATATAGTAAGGCAGCGGCATACTGACTTAATTCTGTTTCTTTTTTTAGGTACTGCATGTGTATGTGTGTTACCAGCTCTAATGTTAGCAGCTAGAAAACATCATCACTTGTGAGAGGATTGAACCGCCTCACCATGACGGAGGTGCAGGTAAGACAGGCCTCCAGAGTACGTGCAAGTCAAAACGTAGATACACAACAAGACATGTCTGATATGTGTGTGACATTTGTTTACTAATTAGTGATGTGCCCATTTCCCGTAGACTTCATGGCCGCAGGGCACAGAGTGTGTGGCCAGGTACAATTTCAAAGGCACATCAGAACAGGACCTGCCCTTCAACAAAGGAGACGTGTTGAGTATTATTATCGTCACCAAGGTAAAGTTACAGTGCCTATAACTTGTAGTTTTTTAACATGCAATATTTAATCCACACCACTATTTTAATTATTAATTTCTGACATTTTGTTTTTCAGGATCCAAACTGGTACAAAGCTAAAAATGTTGCCGGTCGCGAGGGAACGATTCCTGCCAACTATGTTACGAAAAGAGAAGGTGTGAAATCTGGAGGGAAGCTGAGTCTGATGCCGTGAGTACACAGATTATCATGGTTGACTTCTGATGCCCAATATTATCTTTCACTCTGAATAGCAAACATGATTAGACTTATGTGTGTTCTCTATATTTCAAAAGTTGCTACCACTCTAGCTCTGGTTTGCTTCTGCAGCGATGGCTAAAATAGCTCGACGTTGCCCTCGCTCTGTGGCTGTGTGGTTGCTGTAGGCAGATGGGCTATTTGTCGTGGCAGTGGCGCTGCAGTTATGTGAATGGCGACCACAGATGGGTCGGGCTGTTGTGTAATTGCAGTGCACTTGTGTCTGTTTCCAGCTCAGCCCTGTGTAGCTTCCTGTTGTTTGTCGTCTATCTCAGACTGAAGTTATCTCAAAAATCTCTCTGTTTGTCCACATGATTGGATTCCGTGTGCATGCATGCAAGCAAGCATGTAAATGAATAAGAGTTTTTTTTTAGAGCTCTTAATCACAAAATAAGGTCTTGAATGACTTCATAAGGGCAAACCAAGCTACACAACAACAACCCTTGCCATAAACACACCCAAAAAAAGGTACTATAAAACATAACATTGCAAAATACAGCCATTAAGAAGGAAAACTGCTACTCTAAACTTTATCTAATTAAAACCTCACTTTAAAGATTTATAATGTCCTACAGAACCGTGTTTCTGAGCATCCATTCTGCTTGTACAGCAGCACCTTTTTACAGTTGCAGTATCAAAGGACTCCAGCTGATGTTATCATAGGAAACGAGCTCTTACTGAATTTTTGTAAATATAACCTGACATGAATGGTAAAAGGGGATGTCGACCTTTTGAGCAGCATGTTTATGAAATATGAAATCCCTAAATAAAGGGAAAATCCCTGCTGTCATACCTCAGAGGGAAGCTGCTTCTGTTTCTGTCAGAATAGATTTACCTCTGAATTGTAGTGGAGGAGAAGTACAAAGTAGCATACAATGGAAATACTTGAGTAAAGGCTTTTCCTCACTTTCCAATAAGGTTTTCTGTGTGATAGTGGAATGTAACTTTCTCATGGAGGCATGCAAATGGCTTTACTGTACATACTGTGGCTCTGTCATATGCAAATGAGTGTAATCGATACCTCTAATCTCTAGAACAGTATTGGTGTATTTGCATTAAGCACCCATTTACAGTAATAAAATATTATAAAGTGTAAAAAAACTGCAACTGTTTTAAACCTTTATTTAACTAGGTGGTCCCATCTCTTTTTCAAGGGAGACCTGTCCAACATGGCAGCAAGTAGGTTACAACATGAACATAAAACAACAGATAACACAAAAGGACATCGTATTTACAGGGCTACATTTACATACCTACAGTATATGTATATCTCGCCCTGTCAATAAGCCTCACCTTCTTGGCCAAAACGGTATTGTTTTTGAAGTGGTGGAGAGACAATGCACAGTTTTACCCACTGCTGTCACCCATGGCCAAAGCATATCTCTGTCCCAGCAACATCAGTACCAAGCAAGAGAGTTTTTTCCACAGCAGGGGATATTGTAAACGCCCAAACATCCCAGCTTCTACCTGGAAATGTGGACATGCTCATATTCCTAAAAACCTGTCTGATGATGCTGAGTGAGTGAGTTAGTGAGTTTGAGTTGAGTTACTTGAAAAACTAAAGTGAAACTTGATTTATTTTATTGCAGGGTCTGATTATTATGTTTTTGACACTTTAAAATACTACTATCCTACTAAAATGCTGTCAGATTTATTATTTAATAAATAATTTTTTTTCAAGTAAAACAAATTATTTTTCAAAAGAAATTAAAAGAAAAATTCAAATTTTTTTTAAATTTTTTTTTTCAATATCGCGATAAATATCGTACCGTGGACTTGTTATCGCGATATTATCGTACCGTGAGTTTTTGGTATCGTTACATCCCTAGTATACTGTAATTCAACCGCACTATGAGTGTAGCTGCCAAGATGACTTTAGATTTTGAACCAACTTTGCTCTAAAAAAGTTTAAACATTAAGAAGTTCATAAAGATCATTGAGGGACTTGTGTATTGGACGTTTTGTGTGCCTGCACCTGTAATGTGTTTTCAAATGACCGATGCAAACAGTAGGAAGTTGGCTGAAACAATACAAATAGATTTCAATCATTTAGTTTCTAGAATGCATACATTATCCTCATTGTAAAGATTGTTGTGATTAGTGATTAGATTAGTTTCGGTGACATGGTTTTAGTGGCCACTATTAATTTGTTGCTTCTCTGTTTCTTGACTCCCAGATGGTTTCATGGGAAGATAACTCGGGAACAGGCAGAGCAGTTGCTTATCCCTCATGAAACCGGCCTGTTCTTGGTGCGAGAGAGCACCAACTTCCCCGGCGACTATACCCTGTGTGTGAGCTGCGAAAGCAAGGTGGAGCACTATCGCATCGTCTACACCAACGGCAAGCTCACCATCGATGACGAGGGGTACTTTGAAAACCTCATGCAGCTGGTTGAGGTAAGACATTAGATCTCTGTTTAGTTTTTTTTTAATAAAACGGGATGTTCCGAGTGCGCGTCCTGGTGCTATATAGAGCTCTGTCTACTGTATGTTTGTTGTGTTTTCCTGTTATGAGCCCCTGCGTCTCTGTGCTACCTCATAGACCACATACAGTTCCTGGAACAAGTAATGAACAGGAAGTGTCAAAGAGGAAGAGTGAACAAGCTGAGGTGCAAAGTTCTAACCTCAAAAAGACGCGGGGCCTTTTACTCTCAAAATGAGTCCCTTTCCTGTTTAACACAGAGTATTTTTAGTCCGACCTATGTAAAACCTTTTTCCGTCGTCCATTATATATTTAGCTAATTTGACTTTACAGCCCTCTATTGGTCATTCTGAAGCACTGCTGAGTTTGAATGCCGAAGAACTTTAATGCTGGTTGATGCTCTGTTATCGAACGGTGGTATAGTTATATGCCTAAATAAAAGTCAAAACCGCAGATACAATATTATGAATCAAGAACAAACGGTTAACATGATAAGGAATATTCAAACCGACAAAACACAGCAAAATCTATGAATAAAAAGTCATTTTTATTTAAAGTGAGACTTCATTATTCACATTGGTATGGACCTCTTCCAGAAAACGCAGTACATGTACAATAATCCGGCAACATTTTCATTCTTTAAAGGCAAATGGATTTTGTCCAGGTGGAGTATAACCTGATAAATAATTGAGCTAATGATGTACCAAAGGTGGTTCTGTTTTCTAGAAACAATAAGGCTATACGCAATGAACAACTTTTGGAGACCCCTTAAAGTGCTGTAATGCATAATTTGTTTCTTTTTGCTCTGTATGTAGCACTACACCAAAGATGCTGATGGTCTGTGCACCAAACTAATAAAGCCAAAGCTGGAGGAAGGCACGGTGGCCGCTCAGGATGAGTTCTCCAGGGGTGAGTCTCAGTTTGTTGGTCAATTACAATTTATGCATCCACATTATTTACGAGAAGCATGTATGGGCCTGTTATGTTTCAGCTTCATGTTGTTTCCTCTTTAAATGGCCAACAGGTGGCTGGTCGATGAGCAGAAAAGACCTCAAGCTGCAGCAGGTTATTGGAAAAGGAGAATTTGGAGGCAAGTTGCTTCAAGTTTACTTTGAATAGTAGAAAAGTGACCTAATTTGATTGTATTGCTTACATATGGCAAAGTTCTGATATGTATACTGAACATGTAGACTGGAGTAGACTGATTTTACAAACACAAACGGTATACTATGAACAGGTATAGGTACACATTCAGCATTACATCTTGTGTATAGAATTTGTACAAAGGTTTTGATAAAAGTCGAGTAAAACCTTGGACATGCAAACTTTCTTATGTAAACTAAATATCAGGTAGAAAACCTTTACCAATGAAACACATTCCCTCACCTCTCATATGGTTTAAGAGAAGGCTTTTGTTTTTCACATTTGTTTGTTTTGTATCAAAGGGATGACACTTTAAAATGCGAGTTAACCATTGATTTTCTATTGTTTGTATTCACCTCAGATGTCATGGTGGGAGACTACAGAGGGACTAAAGTAGCTGTGAAGTGCATAAAGAACGATGCTACAGCACAGGCTTTTATTGAAGAGGCTTCTGTCATGACGTAAGAAAGATTAGATATTTTGCCACTCTGGTTTTAGAAACACAAATTTACATGTAAACAAATAACATGTCTGTGTGCTCTTCTCCTCTCTCAGGCAACTACGGCATGATAACCTAGTGGGGCTGCTTGGAGTGATCGTCGAGGAGAACGGGAGTCTGTTTATAGTTACTGAGTACATGGCCAAAGTGAGTGGCAGACTGTCCTTCTGAAAATGTGTCAACCTCCAGAGTGACATTACAGATATATAACATTTCTGTTTTTGTTTTTTTCAGGGCTGTTTGGTTGACTACTTGCGTTCCAGAGGCCGGACAGTACTTGATGGAGAAGCTCTCCTTAATTTTGTTCTGTGCGTATGACTAACACTTTATCTACAATTACACTATATACTAGTCAGGGAAGCTTGTTTTTGATGGACAGGTTACTGGATTACATGAAACTAGCTTCATAATGTTGGAGATATAATTAGGGTAAATACATCATAAGTGAGGCTCACTAGATTTAAACTAAACCATGTTGAACTGCAAGAACATTCTACTGTGTACACTTTAGGATTGCCCATGTTTTATTGGATCATCAGGAAATGTAGACTGCATGTTTTTGATCCCACAATTGAATGTGGAAAGACAAAAGTTCTGAGGTTTTGAACTTTGTTTTCCTGTGCTTTCACAGAGACGTCTGTGAAGCCATGGCCTACCTGGAAAACAACAACTTTGTCCACCGAGATTTAGCAGCCCGCAACGTTCTTGTGTCAGAAGACAACATGGCCAAAGTCAGTGACTTTGGTCTGACCAAAGAGGCCTCCTCCACTCAGGACACTGCCAAGCTGCCGGTGAAGTGGACCGCCCCGGAGGCTCTCAGGGAAAAGGTATGCTGTTGTTTTCATGGACTGTTGTTGATGTCAAGTAGCGTGCTTTGCCTTGTGTAGCTCCCAAGATGTGAAATAAACTCTACATGTGTTTTTTTTCCTAATCAATAGAAATTCTCCACCAAATCGGATGTTTGGAGCTACGGTATTCTGCTTTGGGAGATTTACTCTTTCGGCCGAGTGCCTTACCCAAGAATTGTAAGTACCAATATATTTTCGGGAAGAGGCATAAAGAAAATATTAAGGAAAAATAAGGGTTTTGATTTAAGAGTGAAACTATCAGAAACAGCCTAGACTCTTTCCTTTTGCTGTAATACCTGAGAGTATCATACTAAAGTGTACAATTATGCAACCCAGTCTCACGGCATTTCGTGTTATAGTCACGAAATTAATTTAATCTATTGATTCGTGTTCACCAACACGATTTCCCCATTTTTTTCGTGTCACACAGAACGATTTTAAAAGCAATGTATTTCTATTGGTAGTATGTTTCGTGCCTGCACCACGTCTTTTTGTCCGGTCGGGTCTTGGAAGACCAGAAGCTGTGTGGTTCATAAAAACCTTTTCTTACTCTATATCAAGCCACGATTATTTTTATTTTTTTTATTGTTTGCTTCTAAAATCGTTCTGTGTCAGAATACTGAAATCAGTATTTTTTTTATCTTTTTTTCCTTCTAATTTGTTATTATTTACATTGCTTTTAAAATCGTTCTGTGTGACACGAAAAAAATGGGGAAATCGTGTTGGTGAACACGAATCAATAGATTCATTTCGTGACTATAACACGAAATGCCGTGAGACTGGGTTGAATTATGATGTGGTATTGCAACCTTTCTACATAATATAACACTACTTATAATGTATGTACCAAAAATTAATGAATTAGATAAAAAAGAGACAATAAACCACATTGCTCTTTAATGAAAATATATAAAACTAGAACTGTATATGCAGTGAACTTTTATGGGTTGACTGTATTTTAACGAGTTACATAGTTTGCCTCAAATCGTCCTTAAGCTGTAAGCTGTTTTCTGTCAACACTGTCTTTCTCACAACTACTTATTCCATTCTGTAGCCATTAAAAGACGTCGTGCCTCGAGTGGAGAAGGGATACAAAATGGACTGTCCAGACGGCTGTCCTGAAGTGGTGTATAACATCATGAAACAGTGCTGGAACCTGGACCCTGCTGCTCGACCAAGCTTTCAGATGTTGAAGGAGTGGCTACAACATATCAGCCAAGGGAAAGGGAAAAAACCTTAAGACATCTGACAGAACGGATACAAAAAGTGACTTTCCTCTCCCTTCATTTTGACCACTTGGACCACAACCTAGGAGGAAGAAATATTTTGCAGACAATGTTAGCTTTGTCCGTGAACCGATATAACTGTCAACGTTTATGTTCCTTAGCAGCATCCATGTCTCAGGGTGTTCATATTGCAGTTACTCTTAATATCTGATTCGGTCGCTCTTTCTGCGCTAGGTTTTCAAGAGTGAATGATTAACTGTCATATCAACGAGTCTTTCTTTAATACACAGTGCTGCCTCAGGGCCACAGTGCCTTGACCTGTTTTGTGTATTTTATGACCTTTATGTTGATAGCCTTGGTCATATTGGGGACTGCATTATTTGTAATGAACATTTACAGTGGACCGTGACATCATTTGACTAAGTTGACTGTATCCATTGTATCGGTTTAAAGAGGAGAGACACGTCAAAAGTAGGAAGATGGTTTTGATACATCATTACACACTCTATTCTTTTTTTACAGTTTCATGGTACACCTTACTGCATGATCGTATAATTATTTTGTTAAGAGGACTAAGTTAAAATAACTTTAATTATGCAGCTTTACATTTTTTATTGTTGTCTATTTCAAATGCCCTATAAAAGGAAGCACAAGTGTGGACAAATGTAAACTTTACTACTGATATAGAACACCATTCAGCTGATTCATGTAGAAACCATTCCCATGTACAGAATTTTCCATCCAACATCATGAAATGTTTCTATTTTTCTGATTCTTCAGATTGAACCAAATATTCTGGATTTTGTATGTAAAAAGAAAAACGAATGTTAATAAAATACATATTGAAAAAACATTTTTATTTTCCTTTTTTTCAAAGTCAAGTATTAGCTATTTAATATGGAATTATTCATTTATACATTTACACTTAAACCAATCAAAATCAAATACAAATGGTACCTAAACAATTTGGAGATATTTATATGTTACTAAGTATTTCTATTCTTTGCTGCTTTCTACTTCCACCATTAACCTTTTCTCAACTTTTATAATATGTTTTGCATTTAAAAAAACCTGGATAACAAGATAATAACAGCCATTAGATTAATAAAGTACACTATTAAAAAAAAAGAGTACAAATGTATGTACTTGTTTTATAATATTTTATATTATATATATATATATATATCAAGACCAGGCTCAAAAACCCGAGGGGACCGAGCAGCTAGGCCCCAGGCTCTGGAACAGTCTGCCCCTCCATGTGAGGTCGGCCCAGACCCTAGGGGTTTTTAAATCCTCACTGAAGACTCACTTCTTCTCTCAGGCCTTCTAGTCAGAGTATGACTCCTGACATTTCCTTGTGTTTTGTTTTTATATTTGCTGTTGTAAATTATTGTCTTTTGTTGTTATTGTAGTAAAGTGTTTTTATTACATGTGATGTACAGCACTTTGGCCGACCAAACATCGTTTTTAAATGTGCTCTATAAATAAAACCTGATTTGATTTGATATATTCTAATAAAGGTTATTCCTTTAAGCCATTGCAGTGCTATCAAGAGGTTCAGTTTCTTATTAACGGAGGCTGTGATAGTGGTTATGTAATTTTCCCTTTCTTCAAACGGCAATACATGAACTAATAAGTAAATATAAGTCGCCTCATGGGGTTTCAACGATTTTAGAAGCGGAACCTTGAGGAGGAGAATCCCCCTAAAATATGGGGGCTTATTACTGTGTTGCACTTGGTGTCACAGTGAAATACAGACTGAAAACAGTGTCAGCGTTAAGTGACAGCCTGCAGCTCTGATCACAGCTCAGGATTACACAGGCTTTGTTTTATGTTGTGATGATGGACAATGAGGTCGATGTCTTCTATCGGGAGCTGCCAAAAGTGGTAAGTCGCAAAAGCATTGATACATCTTAAGATGAGAAGAAAGTTTGAGGAGTTTAAACACGGTTAAAAGTATGTTTGTGTACATTTATAGTTACCTAGATGCTAACGTCAGCGTTTCAAACCGTCACCAGGAGCTCCATGCTCACCTCAACGGCTCCGTCAGCTGCCCGACCATCGAGAAGCTCATCAGCCGAAAACCGCACCTCAACATCGGACACGGCATGACGGCCATCGGCAAGGGCCAGCGGAGGACCCTGGATGAGTGCGTGTAACTTCATATGAAAGTTTAATAAAGGACCAATTTTGTATCAATTAGAGCTATATTTGATGATGACATCGTCGTTATTTCACAAGTACAAGTATAACAATGGGTGGGTATTAAAGTGTTACTGTTTTTAGATGAGAATAAAACAAAAACTGTCAATTATCAAAGACGTATTTCACTCCAGGGTGATAGCAGCACACCCCAACTAGTCACTTAGAGAATATCAGGATAATCTGTTTTTGATTTATTCTTTTCTAAAAACAGAGGGATGATAGCTCGTATATGAGACTTCAATGGTATTTTATTTTGAAACTGTACATCAGATTGTCCTGATATTCTCTGAGTGACTAGATGGGGTGTCCTGCTATCACTCTGGAGTGATATTAGTCTTTGATACTGGAGAGTTTTTGTTTTATTCTTATCTAAAAACAGAGGGATGATAGCTCATATATGAGACTTCAAAGGTATTTTATTTTGAAACTGTACATCAGATTGTCCTGATATTCTCTGAGTGACTAGATGGGGTGTCCTGCTATCACCCTGGAGTGATATTAGTCTTTGATACTGGATAGTTTTTGTTTTATTCTTATCTAAAAACAGATGGACGATAGCCCATATGAGATTTCAAAAGTATTTTATTTATTTTGAAAGTTTTACATTCACTCAGTTATAATGTGGTAGTTATACGTAGTTTGTTTTAAATAATTATTGATCACATTATATAGACCATATTTCTTAATTTAAGCTCCAGTATTTATGAATATGTTTGGTATGTTTTTTTGGTATATTTGTTATTGACCGAGTAAGCGCTTTTATTTTGAAGGCAGTTTTTCCAGGCCTCTACCGTAATGCATAGGATATTCGCACACCGCAATACAACGTGCAGGCTGGCTTGAACGTGTTTTCCGAAGTGGAGGCTGGCTTGACCGCAGTAATAGTTATGTGACAATGGGAAGAGGGGGTTTTTCTTTTTTAAAGGGGTCAAATCTATAAGAAAATGGCGCGCATATCAGGTGTAAATTACATTTTTTAATCATAATAATATTATAATGAATTGTAGGCATAGATATGTGTATATATTGTTTAATTAATCATATTGAAAAATGGAAATGGTATAGTTATACATGAAACATCAACGAATAGAATAGAATACAAAATAATGACCTACCCATGCAGGAACATTATCTATGAATAGTTTTATGTTGGTTATTGGACAAACATTCACTTCTTTTTTTTCTTTATAACTGATATGTAATTAATTTATCTTGAATAAATATTTAAAAAGAAGATTATTTCAGATTTGGAACAATGCAAAGTAGGACACATTGCATTGAATTTATTTTTATTTTAATAGTGATATAACAAGTCAGCAGTTTCCTTTTTTAAAAAGTCAGAACACATTTCAATAGCTTCCATGTCATGTAGTCTGAACAAATACGACATGTCGCTTTTTATTGGATTTTAGTCCACCTTATGTTATGAACATTTTAATGACTTTCATTTGTATTGCTTCACTGCTGTAAATTATAATAAATCTTTCCATAGAAAAAAACTGTAGTCCTATGCATGATGTTTACAGCCTGTTGACCAAACAATTAGCAAAACAGACAACATTGATCTGCACGAGGAAGATGTAAACTTAAGCATATTTGATGTCTGCAGGTGTTTCCAAGTCTTCAAGGTCATCCATCAGCTGGTGGACACGGAGGAAGACATCCTGATGGTGAAGACTGACTGTTTGAAAAAAAATGAAATTAGCAGTTGTTGACTTAAATATATATATGTTTTGCACAGAATGTTACTGACAGCTGTTTCTTTTCTCTCTTCACAGGTTGCTACAGATGTGATCAAAGAGTTTGCAGCAGATGGTGTCAAATATTTAGAGCTGAGAAGTACACCAAGGGAGGAGAAACATACAGGTGGAGAAGCAGCCTTATATCTGAGAAGTGATTTACTGTCAAGGTTGTTTTATTAAATGATTAGGCTCTCAAATTAGACAGTTTACACATATTTTATATTCCCATGGCACGTCTTTGTCAGTATTACCATTCAAGAAAACATGATTCCAAAAAATCCCATTTTATTTGTTTTGTGGGTTGATACAAATGTGTAAAATATTTATATTGTATCGTGGCAGACTTTGTGATTTCTTAAAACATGCCATCATTGTCCACACTATAAATAGTGTTGTATTGTGATGACATGTGTAGTTTACACCCCTAATGTGTATACATTTACAGTATATGTGTGTCTTTGGGAAAACACTTTGGTGCAAAACATAAAACAAACTTGAAGAATTTGAAACAAGTTTAATACCTTTTCCCTATAGGATTGACAAAGAAGAGTTACATTGAAACCGTCATCAAAGCCATTACACAATGCAAAAGCGAAGGAGTGGACATTGATGTCAGGTAGGCAACAGTTTTATTTTTGTGTGCAAGTCGGCAAATGTTTATTTTTGTGTGTGTGAGAAGTGCCTGTGTTGAACACACTCCCATTACAGTCTGCATAATGTTTTACTAGGAACGTGAGTGCTGGCCACAGTAGTGCATGGCTGTAAATGTGTTCATTTGTTCTCAAGGTTTCTGGTGGCGATTGACCGCAGGAATGGAACTGAAGTTGCCATGGAGACGGTGAAGCTTGCTGAGGACTTCATGCTGTCGTCTGATGGTTTGGTGTTGGGACTCGACCTCAGTGGAGATCCAACGGTTAGTACAAATTGAGCATCATTGGAATTAAAACATTCACTATTTAATTTCTCTGTGTTACCAGTTTCTGCCTTTCACATGTGCTGACTATTTCTCAGACGGATCAAAAAGACAGTTTTACTCCTAATATTACGCACCATTAGAGTTACAATACCCACTAGTTGGGGACCAGTTAGACTAGCATTTTTTTGCAGGTTATGACATGTTCAGAAATAGTACTTTTGCTTCTGATACTTGTGCTTTTAAGTGCAAGCTACAAATACATTTACTTATACATTTATGAAGGTAATGTAAAGAAAAAAGCATAAAAAACAATGGTTAATGTTATCTCTTACAGAAAGTGCAGTCTTCCATAATGGTAGCTGTTGAACAATTTGCTCAGGTTTCTTTGGTAATCCCTGGTCCATGGTGTTAGCAGTCACTATAGTTTGTTGGAGTATTCCAATGACTGATCCCAACGTGGTTTCTTGTTTATTTTATTGCTTTTTTGCATTTTGACAGATGCATTGCTATAATCAAATGATGCTATTTGCAAAAAGAATAGTTGCAAATTAAAGGGACGGTACAGTACAGTAGATGCCTCCAAACCTTTACTGATAATTAAAAAAAAAATCAAATCCATGTAAATGAAATATTCAGTGAGATTTAAAAGGAATCCACCTGTCTGACATTTACTCACACTTCCTGTTAATGAATGTACTTTTCCCTCTCAGGTTGGCCATGGCAAAGACCTACTTCCTGCTCTGCAGAAGGCAAAGAACTGTGGACTGAAGTTGTCCCTGCACCTCTCAGAAGTATGACCACAACATTAAATGTAATCCGTTATCAGTGAGCACATTATCTGAGAGAGATCTGATGTTCCAACATGAACGGTTGCAGGTCCCGTCCCAGCTGGAGGAGTCCGACCTGCTGCTGGATCTTCCTCCGGACAGGATCGGTCATGGCACCTTCCTGCACCCGGCCATGGGGGGATCTCAAGGGCTTGTTGACAAAGTGGTGAAGCACAACATACCGCTGGGTAAGAGTGAGATTAAAAGATTTATTTTTTGAGGTGTGCACCAGTGGACTTGCTTAAAGGTAGGGTAGGTAAGTTTGAGAAACCGGCTCGAGATCGCTAGGATTTGAAAATAGACAACTGGAGAAAATCTGCTACTTCCTTACAGAGCCCCTCCTCCAACACACACGAACGCGCACATGACCAATGAGGGCACGAGATAAGTTTGTGCACAGATGGAAGGCTGACAGGCAGGTAGGCCATCCAATCATTTTAGCAGGGCCGGCTAAAATGATTGGTCGTGCTTTTTACAGTACTACGGCTTCCACAGATGACATTTTTTTATGGATTTTTTGTCAAAGCACTTAAGATATTCATTGCTATCGGGATGTTAAGAGCATTCCATGGAATATAACAAAAAGTGTATCTCGAGCCGGTTTCTCAAACTTACCTACCCTACCTTTAAGGATTTTTTATCTTTTTATCTCAGAGCTCTGCCTGACATCAAACGTCAAAGGACAAACGGTTGCACGTTACTCCGATCATCATTTCAAACACTGGTACCAGATGGGACATCCCAGTGTGATTTGTGTAAGTTTCGCCTCACATACGATACTATGACCAGTTTTTAATTGCATTTTGACATTTTGTGGCATACTGAACTGACGGTTTTACATGTTTAATGACATACTTAGCTTTCTTTACAAAGACTTCCAAAGTCAGAATAATGTATTTCAAAACTGAACAAAAATTATTTTGTTTGCTAAATTCGAATGAATTAGAGTCGAGGGATAGTATGCCATATAAAGGCTATTTTATGAGACACTATGAATGGACATTTTTATATATTTATTGGAATATGCTTGCTTCCTAAATTGCTACTACATCATAAATATTTTGGAAAATAATTGATTTCTATTTTCTAAATAACACCTGATGTACACGGTTATAACACCCGTTTAACAGCCAATATAATCACTTATCACACTTGTTACATATGGACACAGACTGTCAAATGACACTAAAGTATGCACCATGAAACTGTAACCATTTAAGGGTTAGGGACACCTGATATAGAACCTGAATTGACACCATGTTGACCATGAATGATTTTATTCTTTGTCACATTAGACTGATGATAAAGGAGTCTTCAGTACGGACTTGTCTCAGGAATATCAGCTGGCAGCTTCCACGTTTGATCTCAGTCGTGAAGCTGTGTGGAAACTTTCCCATGATGCCATAGACTGTATCTTTGCCCCGGACACTGTGAAACAGCAGCTCAAACAGAAGTGGATTGATTTAAAGCCTCAAGTGTTCAAGTGATCCATTACAGGGAAACTGACAGCCTTTAATATACCTCACATATCATTTTACAGAACTTATTCATTAACATTTTACATTGTAGAAATCATGTCTTCAACTAAAAGGGAAACTCTAAACATACTGTGAAAATGTTTAAAATAACTGAAAGTAAATCCTTCCTATTTAGTACAACATGTGTAAGTGTGTTATTTGCTGCCGATATACAGGGTCTCTGCAATGTTGCACACACCATAAAACAAAGCAACAAACTTGTTATGATGTACTGTAGAAAGAAAAAAATCATAAGCATAAGAAAATATATCTCAGAGGATATCCAGTCTTTTAGGTGCTCTTCAGTATCTGCAATATCATGTTGATACCGCTTGGTTCCCACACACTTTCCTGTCAACGCAGCAGTTTACGGTCACGCCCTCTTTCCAAATTTGCCCTGCTTGTCTTTGTTCTTCTTGAATTTTCCGTGTTGTGTCTCTTTCTTTTTCAGTTTTCCATGCTCTGGAGCCCCATTGCTTGCTTTTGTGTTTTCCCCTTCATACTTCCTCTTCTTTTCACTGTTGGGAGAAGGACATTGTTACAAACATGTTTCAACAACATCCCAAACAACCACAGTCTGCCAAAAATCCTGATGTCACTGCACCTTTTGATGCTGACGACTGCTGTGGTCCCTGCTTTCTTCAGCACCTGGTCCCATTCCTCATTATCTCCACGGATATTGTACCTGTAAATACAAAAAGGAAATTATTAAAACTACAACAGTAAATATTGCCCTGCGCATTTTCAAGATGCTACACAAATGACCAAAATCATCCCTCCTCAAAACCTTATACTCACTCTTCCATGTCCATTTCCTTGACTTTCTCCACATCCTGCTTGTGTTTCTCATCAAACTCTTTAGCCGCTTCGTTCTGTGAGTGACAGATTCATTTTTAAACAATTTTTCTTATATTCATTATTTTCCCTGATAGGTTACTTTACATAGTAGAGAAAAAAAGAAAAGCAACACTTTCCACATGAGCATTTGAAACCAGCAAAGGTTTTAAAATAATCAGAGTTGTTAAACACATACCAGATCATCATTGAGGCTTCTGACAGTGGGCTCCATGGAAACGTCTATAGAAGTCGCCATCTCTGCCTCAATGGCTTTTTCTTGGATGCTGGTGAAGACCTAGGATTGTTTCAAGTTTCAAGGCTTTATTGTCATGTAGATATGGCAATACAACACTTCAGTCACAGGCTTCTCCAACAGTGCAACACATATACAAAGATGAATGTTGTTGCAGAAGTATTACATTACATTTGATGGCTTCTTCCTCACAGCATGTACGGCTTTTAGGAGTAAACTTACTTGGACAAATTTCCGGATCAGACGGTTGAAGAGGCCCATGAGCTGCGAGCTTGGGAGTTCAATTTCCTTTTCCAGCTGGTCTACTGATTTGTGCTGTAAACCTATGCCGAGCAGTAGAGCCTAGAGAAAAAAGGGAAAAGCAACAGGTTCAAATAAAACTGAATTCACGACAAAGAAGCAACTGAAACCATGAGCTCAAGGGAAACGTACACACTGTGCTGCAGAGAGAGACACGTCCCCGAGCTGCTTGAGGAAGAACATGCGAGCCACTGTTGGGACCAGGTCCATGATGAGGTGGTAGTCCACCATGCTCCTCGAATACAGCTCCAGGCGCTTGAGGTCGTAAGGGCTGAAATTGGAGGCCAGCTCGGATCTGCTGAGAACTGTGGAGGTCAAAGGCAGGTCAGAAAGTGTGTGAGGTGGAGAGGAAATCTGAAGGGTTAGAACTGCTACAATACAGATCAAAATATTCAAATGAATAAAGATAGAGCACCCATTTTTTTTTTTTAAAGGACCACACAGTTGCCGTTTACATTGGCAGTTACAGAGAAATGTTTCCAGGGACTTAGGATCTCAATGAAACTCGTTTGATCACACATGTCTTCATAAAAAAACAAATATGGCGTTTGCATTTGAAGCACGAGCCGGAATAAAGTGTTCACAATCTCAGAGAGCATGATACGTTTACTTTGGATGGTTACAACCTTTTGGCTAATAATCTGAATCTTCTGTTCAGAAAATGAATAGGTTTTTCACTTCTGGAACCTCACTGTTGAGCTCTGTCTCCCTCTAGTGTGACAGCATCAGTTATTAAAGGAGTCTTACCGGTGGTCTCCTCCTTGGACTTCTTGTTCTGCAGGATGCTGAGTGACATGCTGGGATGGAAGCTGCTGAACTGGTAGGAGAGGAGAGACAGGAAGCGCCGGCGGAAATCTGAGGGAAACAATAACTTTGTAGTCAGACTATCATGAGTTTAAACAAACCAGATCTTTAGAGGCAGTGCAGGAAAGTTGTTGAAGTTCACCTTTCCAGAAGGCAGAGAGCCACTGGCTCTGCTCCGGGGAGTCATCTGTGTTCAGCTCCTTCAGCATCACACAGGAGTGCTCTCCTGTCAGGTCGTTCTACAGACACACACACACAATAATTACAGCCTGTGACGACAGCAAAATGCACAGACAAATATATAACAATCTCTTTTTATACGTACAGGGGTTTGTCTTAAGTAGACCGGAGTATAACCAGCTTTCCTCCAGAACCTGTCAGGTTGCAAAAAGAGTTTTTTTAAATAAAATAAAAAATCTGCAAAAATACAACAACCCTAATCTCCATATTCAAGGACACTCACTTGAGCAGCCTTGTAGTAAGGCCATAGGAGACTCCCAGATAGTCCAGTCTCTCCGCTCTCCTCTCACTCAGCTTCAGCAGCAGAGGGGGGAGCTCTTTCCTCGGAGTGATCACCTCCTCCAGCAGACTGACAGCCTGCACACAAGAGACAACAACACGACTGGCACATGAGTTTCTACCCTAGTTACAATGCATGTGTGTAATCGATGTCTTCTAAATATTGCTGAATATATGTCATTTCATTACCTCGCTGCTGACGGATGTGATCTCATTTGGATTTGAGTTTGTGCTCTCATCCATGGTGGGGAACTTGCCCTCGTAGTACATCTGCAGCAGTTGGAGAGCTCTGGAGCCGTAGCCCATCTGGAGGACAGGTGGAGAACCAGTTAGATACAGAACATGCAGATTCAAATGACACTGGAAACATGCTGAGACTTGTGCAGGCTCTTACCCCCTGGTAGTCTGGGTTGACAGCGATCCGCACCACTCTGCCTCCGGAGAGGCCGCCAAACTCTGGGTCTTGGAACTACAAAGAGAAAAAGTAGAGGATCAAATATTTGCACGTTGATAATGTGAGCTTAAAAATCTCAAAGCGCTTGTATCGAGTGTGTACCTGCTCTGACACCGTCCAGGGAATCAGGTCCCCAGAGGCCTTCTTTCCTCTGGACAGACTGTTCAAGATGGACTGCCGAGATATTTCTCCCTCCAGACACACCTGAGAAAAACAAATGTACATTTACTAAGAGTCAAGTCAATTCACAAATTAAAAAGATAGAAGCATACAAAAATGGTAATTTTGTTAATAAAAGCTGTAACTGAGCATATTTGTGTATCCTGTGCTGCATAACAGGACTACAGCGGCAGCACACAATGAGCATAGTCAGGATTTGGAGTAACTTACTTATTCAAGTTAACTATAACAACAACATGGCTTGGAAGAAATAAACAAGTAATGTTTTGGCTGGACTGACTGACATCAAATGTTCAAAATAATCTGGTGACTAAAAACTCAACAGTTTTTCATTGACTAAAACTAAGATAAGTTAGGGTTTTCTTTGACAAAGATAAGACAAAATGCCCAGACCTTTAGTCAACTAACAAAAAGGAAACAACCTACGAAACCTCAAAATGAACAAGTAAAATTGACACAGGTCTAACACTTAATGAAACGAATATCTGATCAAATGGCCGCCAGTCAGCAGTGTTTTACCTGCACCACAGCGAGGACCTCGGGCAGAGCGTTCTGTGTGGGGGGGACAGGAGGGAGGAGGCAGAAGAGGTGATGGGCCGGAGCATCGGACAACATCTGCAGGTCGTTGGGGGAATTCTGGATCCAGAGAAAACATTTGAGACGGCGAATAAACAAACAGATGACAGGATACAATGTAGGATGCAATGTGATCCTCAGACTAATATTCTCACCTTGTAGTGCGAGGCCACGTAGAGGGCCATCAGCCTCTGCAGGAAGGCCTCAGACGCCTTGTGGTAACAGAACAGGGTGTCTCTGTTCACATAGTACCTGCACAGTGGGGGTTAAGGACAAACGCAGAACAAACTGGTGTGTAGGAGTGTGTCACTCAGACAGTTGCATGCAGTGATACAACATTTCACATTTTTTGTTGTCTGATTTGATTAACATAAGATTATGATTAGCTACAAAATGATAACAGTTTATTTCTTGTTTCATGCATTAAATGTTATGGTCCTGAATGGTAATATCAAAAAAGAGATGAGCAGTGATAAAAAGAGAAATGTTCTCTGTAAGCCCCAAGTTTTGTTATATCTTTAGAAATATTTGAAGTGGATATTGGAAAACTTAAAAAGAGGGTTGAAACATACCAGTTGATATTAACTGGAAGGCAATCATTGATTTTATTACAAGTGTCTTCCCCTTTTCTTAATTATATGTAAAATATGTTTTGCTTCCATTACATGCTGTATGTAACCAGTATGTGGGAGAGGATAATAGGTCATTAAATTAAATTAAATTAATTGAAATGTAATGTAATCCGGGCTGACCAGGTCAGTGCATAAAGGATACAGGTCACAGGTCTGTGGGAGGGGGCAGCCGGAGATGAGTCTGGGTATGTTCATACAGTCGAGACACAGCAGGTCGTTCAGCCACTTCTCCACAGCGTCTCCAGGGGCGTACCGGATCGACTCGTGAAGAGTGACCTCATGGAGAGAGCGAGCTGTGTGCAGAGACAGAGAAACAGTCAGTCCATTTTCTGACTCGCATTGGTCACTAAACAACCACAGACAGATCCCTGATGTCTGTACCTGCTGCCAGCCTCTCTGTGTTGGAGCTCCTGTTCTCTGCAGACATGTTCTGCTGACTGTCGGCACTCTGTTGCCGCAGCTGCTGGATCAGTTTGAGGGAGAGAGAGCGCCCGGTGCCTTCATATCTGCAGAG